TCAAAAAAGAAAAACGATGTCAAAAAAGAAAAAATTCATTTATAGCTAAAAATTCCTAAAAATGTATAAAAATGCAAAATTAATTGTATCTAAGTAGCCAAGTAGGTAGGTACTTATTTTATAATATACAAAATTAATGAAGCATGAAACAAATTTATATAGCTTGGTTAGCATTGTGTAGGTATGATTAAAGGTTCAAAAATGCAAAATTCATTAACGCATCCTATCTCTATAATATTATGTAAGTGATAATAATAACTGGTGAAGTAGCCGCAAACTTATCAAAAATAATTATACTCGTACCTACGGCTTTATTCATATTTTTATCACAATCCAACATAACACACCCAACACTGACCTAATGGCTTGCCAAAAAAACATAATAGACCTTTTAAAAATGTAGGTACTTTAAGAATGTCGGTCTTTTTTAATTTTACTTCATCTATTTCATTAAAATAATAATATAATATGTCGTGAGTCGTTGGAAAGGCGATCGCCAGCTCTAAGGTACCTATATTGGTCACACTACGCAGGATATCGGCCGTATGTATATCCGAATGGTATATTAATTCTATATTGAATCTATTTATAATTCAGAATAATTCGGCCGTAGGTCGACGAATGTCAAAGGGCAAATACAATAGGTAGGTACTATTTGTTTTTATCGGCCGTTTGAAGCCCAAAATGGATATTTCCCGGGCATCGTCTACCGATCCGAAATAATACCAATATAGTTATTATTATGTTTTAGTATTATTATTCATAATTTACATCAAACACTTGTATGAAGACGGTACGTCGTACCTAAGTCGCTAGTTTTTGTATTTCATTACTGCCATTTTAATTGATTAAAAAAACGTAGTATCTTTGAAATAATGGTCTCCATATTGGACTTCTGAAAAGGCACATGGACAATATTTTATTGTTAACGATACAACTGTATCGAATGTTAAATTTTTTTTTTAATTTACGTACCTATATTATATAAATATAAGTATATTTTCTTCAATAAATTGCATACTTTAGCAAATTTTCACTGCATATTATATACCTACCACATATTATAATGTTGTTTTTTAACGCATATGTATGCGAATATTTGAGTTCTTTTTAGCGCATAAAGTTCAGAGCCTTGGTTATTAGATAAAAAAAGAGTGCCTTATTAAAATATACACATCTGCAAAGTGAAATTTTAGATTCTGAATGTATTGATTTTACAATGATGTGTTTTTTTTTTATTTTTTATTTTTTTTTGCGTCTGTCATCACGTTTTAGGACAGTAAAAGTGCTTGGATTTTCTTCAACAGTAGCTTTTCTGATAGGAAAGTGAATCTAGTTGGTACTTTGGGGGGTCAAAAATGAAAATTTCCCAGTAGTTTTAAAAAGCGCCGTGAAAAACAAAAGAAAAATTAAGGAAAAACGGGAATTTTTACGCAAAATCTGTTATCGAGAAAATCGATTTTGGTTTTTGGCGTAACTTTAAAACAAATGACTGTAGATAAGTGAAATTTTCACCGGTTGTTTATATTTGCATTTTCTATACACAATAACATTTTCAAAATATTTCGATTTATTTTGAACTGTTTAGGGACATTTTTAGTTTCCAATTTTATTAGTTTTTTTTTTTATGAATATCAATAAAAATTTAAAAGTTGGTTAAAAAAGCTTGAAAATGTAATCCTACTACCTATATTGTTTCAAAGGCAGATGAAAAATATTAAAAATCATTAGTCACAGTTTTTTTTTATTTAGCATTTAAAGTCCAAAAATTGACAAAATATGGAAAAATCACGAAAATTAGCAAATTATTTTGAATTAAGAATTCGTAAAAATTTTTCTTTTTAAATCTAAGATTTTAAAATGTGATACCAGATTCCTTATAAGATCTTTATCAAGAAATAAATAATGTCTATAAGAAAGTCAAATTAAATTTTTATGAGCGTTTGAAATTCAAATTTTTACAATATAGGATATTCACTCGATTTTTCATGTGGCGATTTCCTTATTTCGTTGTAATTCAAAAATGAATAACTGTAGATACATGAAAATTTCACTGAATATTTATATTAGCATTTCCTATACACCATAGAATTTTGAAAATATTTTGACTCTTTTTGAGCAGTTTACGGACATTTACAGCTTTCAATTTTTTTAATTTTTTTTTCTATAAATATCAATAAAGTTTTATCTGTTGGGCCAAAAAGTGTAAAAAATTAATACAAGACTCCTGATATTGTTACAATAGCAATTGAAAAATATTAAAAATACATAGGCACAATTTTCTTTTATAAGCATTTAAAGATCGAATTTTGACAAAATTTATCAAATTTAAAATTGAATAATTATTTTGTAGTTAAAAATGTATAAAATGTTCAACTTCTAGGTATAGCTAAGGATTGAAAATTTAAAACATGAGTAGTTTATTCTGTTACCAAAAAATCTAAAAAATACGTACGCATAGTTTATTTTATAGTCATTTTAAGTTCAAATTTGGATGAAATTACATAAAAAAAACCTAGAATAACTATTTTAGTTATTTTGTTATGATTGTATAATATTATTCGGTGGTACTTGAAATTTCTAAAGTACACTATTATATATTATCTATGATAGTATTAGGGTTTGCTGTTGATGTATAACTCGTTATAATTGTACCTAATGGATATTGTGATATGATTAATTTGGAATTTTGTTATAGGTATCTATTATATTTTAATAATAATAATTTTTTTAATACCATAGATAAGTATATAATGACAATACCTACACTGACATACCGTCTCCGCTCAGAATCGTTTTTCTTATACAATGATATTATATCATTGGATTCAAATTTAATACTATCCATTATACAGTGACCCACTTGTAACGTACTGTACAGCAGAGAACCTTTATTTTTTATTTTTATTTGTTTAATTGAGCAACCTGTTTCATAGTTTATTCAATTATTTAATCAACACCCTACTGTACTGCACTTTACTCATTAGGTAACACAATTCTATTTTTCACATATATATTTTATATTTATAAGTCGACGGTGATATTTAATAAAATTATAAATGAAAAATGATCATTAATTGACCCAGATTATATAAGTTGCATGCAACTTATTAAAGCTTTAGAATTAAGAGATAGAATTTTTTTTTTTTTAATGATGAAGACTAATATTGGTTTTATTTGTTTTGGTCTTTTTTTTGTTATAATTTCTTGCAATTTTTTTAGTAATAAATATACTATAAAATACGCATTATTTATAGTTTGATTTTTTAAATGATTAGGAAGATTAATTAATTCGGCTTCCCAATTGTTTGTTGCTGATAAATGATAATATAGGAAATGTAGAACTGTCGAATGTATGTTAAGCATCATTTGGATTCATAATTTGGCCATCACCATAATTACTATTGGGTGTTGATACTTTCAAAATTTCGGGTGAAGGTACACCCAAGAAAAATCTACTAAAAATAAAAGAACAGTAATTAAGCGCATTTTATCAATTTTGTTAAGTATAATTCAAATGTTTATCATTATAATCAATGCAGATGCTTGCCAGTTGCCAGTGCCATATGGAGATGACCGACTCAATAATTTCTCAAATAACAGATACATTTAAATTCTCCTGTGATCTATATAAACTTGGTATAAATGTTAACTTTAAATGATTACAAAATAAAAAAGTGCTCAAATATTTTTGGTATAATTAAATTGCTGTAAGAATAATTTATGAAGAACCTATTATATTCAATTTGCAGTTTTCTACTCACAAACAAAAATGTATGCAAAATAAAATGTTATATAACTCCTTACTTAATGGATTTATAATTTTGTCTGCAATGTGCATAACTAAAAGAATAAATATGTAAATAGTATATATTATACAAAAAAACTTATAATGAGTGATGATATTTGATACTTCTTAGCTAATCTGAAGGGAAAAGACAATAATATTATGTACTATTATCTAAAAAAGGAGTGTCCAACCTTTTGTAAAGACTGGGACACATCATATGGGAAGAAGTTGTTGAGGGCCACATACTTTTTAATAATAATACATTCAAAATGGATGATTAAATTATATACTATAACAGAACAATACATTTTTTTTATAATTTTACTATAACGAATAATAAGTAGAAATATTTTTTTTGATAAATGACACGGAATATTGCTATTGGAGCAAATAAAGGTAAAACATTAATTGAGTTTCTTTATTTGATGTTTAATATTTTGTAGTTTTATATTTTTAAAATAAATTTTTTTTTGTAATATTAATTTATTATATACAATTAACTAATGGTTTTTTAAATTGAAGTGAGGGCCGCATCAAAATCTACCACGGGCCTTGGGTTGGACAGCCCTGTTCTAACACTTAGATTCTAAGCATTTCGTGTAGTTACACATTAATTGCTCTGTTATCTTAAAACAAGAAGACATATTTCAAGATAAGACAAACTAACAAACTAAAAACTACAGATCTTATTGAGTATAATGTAATTATAAAAATAATAAAAGTATAATAATCAATCAATCTGTAAATAAATGATGTTGTAAACATAACAGTCTAGAGGAAATATTTTTATTGTAATTAAAAATCAATTATGATCATTTGAAATGTGTTTCAGGATCAAATAAGGTAAAGTCAACTAACTTATGGTTTGATGTTGTCCAGTTTTTTATTTAAATAAAAAATTGGAAGGAAAATAGATTTAAAAAAAAAATAGATGTAATGCTTTATGTCAAAATGTAATTGTTCAAAAGAAGTCCAACATTTGTATAGTATCCTTAAGCAAAAAAAACATTTATAACAAAAAAAAAAACGCAACAATATACATTGAGTATCCACTAAAAAATGTTTTGATTTGTAGATACAAATTGAAGATAATAGGAAAATGAGATTATTAATTTATATATCCATACAAATACATATCTTATTTATTATATGTATTATATACGTTTTTTTAATTGCTTAATGTCTAAAACGTTTGTTAAAAATCAAAATATTAATTTTTGACGGAAGCTTCGGGGTTTAATTTGGTCACTAGAATTTTAGCACCAGAAAATTTTTGTTTCTTTAACAAATTAATCATTTTTGTTGAAATTGATGACTTTATATTTTCTACAGCCAACTGGACATCTGATTCAATCATTCTGAAATATTTTAATTTATAATAAATATCAATTGCTAAATCATACTGTTGTTAATTTAGCATGCTATTACTTACGCAATAAGCAAAAAACAGGCACGGTTACATTGAATCCATGATTCTAAGGTGTCAGCAGTAATAATAGATGACAATATTTCAGAAAATGTAGCTAGAGAAAGAAAAAAATACAATAAAATATTATTAAGAAATAATTTTAACTATAAAATGTGTCATACTTTCATTATTTTTCACTAGAATCTTATCATGACCTATTATCTTTCTCAACACCATATGAAGACCGGAGTGTTCGTATACAGGAACTTTTACATCTTTATCCTCTACTTTATTGTTGGGATCAATTAGATAGTTGGCTACTGATGTCATAGCTTCTTTCAATTTGTCTCCTAATAAACAAACAAAAATTTAATGTAAAAAATAATAATGGGGATCTGCCATAGTAAACTCTCCCAGGTCTACTCTAGTATTACCTAACGGGAACATGTAAACTCTCCAGTCTGTAATAACTTTATTCGTACATTATAATTTAATGTTTATATTAATATGAATATTTTTTAAATTTATAATATAGGGAATTATTTAAAATAATAATAATTTAAATCAATTTCAAATTAAATTAGACTTTTATAATTATATGAACATACAATTTAAAACAACTTTGGAGAGTTTACATATTATTTCCTTAAAAAACATAATTTTGACCTGGGAGAATTTACAAATTTCTATCTGGTAAACATTATGTTGACCCGGAAGAGTCCTTAGTTCAGGTGCAAAGCCTAGGTATAATCTCAGATTTACTGAAAAATTGTACAAGCCTTAATCAAAGATAAAAATATAATATGTTATTATAGTTGTCAAGACCACATCATTGTTAAAAAACATCATTGCAGGGTAGTGCAGTAACATACACACTAAATAACTTAAAAATGAGTGAACTCTATATTGACATGACAATATTGTACACTCAGTTCCTATAAATTAGGCTGCATCGAGTTGGGTCCGAAAATCATAATAGTTTTAAATTGTGTATAAAGGTCTGGGTGAATAAAATATTTTGTCAAAATTGGTTACGGGAATAAAGAATTATGTGATCTAATTGGTAAATAAAATTGAATTGCTAAGAATTTGTTAATTCAGTTTGTTATAAATTTCAATCCAACTATTCACATATTATATAAATAAATTATGTATATGACGACAAAAATTGTAAATATAATATACATTATATTATTAAACATTTATTAATTAAACTTAAAAAACCTAGCAAACGAGAAAGAAAACATTTTTAACCAAATCTATAATAACCTATAAACTATTAAAAATTATGCACAGTTAGCCATTTAACCACACTAATTAAAGTTAATCAATCATACCTTATAATAATTTAATATTAATATTTTATAAACCATATTATAAATATATAATGCACACATTGCATACCTGTACAAATGCTCAAATTACAATTATTTAATCACTTTAACAGAATATGAACACATTAATTACCACTGCCTGATTTCAGGATTCCTAGTAACACCATTGCAATTGACCCGTTACTTAACCAGAAGTTTGGATTATCTTGAACGTGCTGTAGAAAACGGTCAGAAACTGCGTTCAAGAGTTCTTTTACTCGCACATCGTCATCTTTTTTGCTGTTAAATATTAAAAATAAAACAATTAGTATAATAGGTTAAAAGACAATACTCAAACAATTTTTTTTATATTCATATTATTAACAAAAAAATACATTTTTTAAAATATTAAAAAGTAGAATGGAGAAATATGGTCACCATACTTTTTAGATGAAAAGGAGATGAAGTCAGATTGTATTATTTTGTAAAAAAAATATAGATACTGTAATAATTATTGTTAAACCAAATTAATGTGTGAAAAGTGTAAAACATAATTGTTTCATTTCCTTATTTCTTAAAAATTACATAGCATTTATAGTTCCACGAGGAAAAACAATTTATCAACTTTTACAAAATTAAGATTTACAATAAATACATAAAAAAGAATTACATTATAACAATTTAAGATATAAAAAAATTCTAATCGCACCATTTATAGTATATTTTGTACTTTTCTGTTAAGCAAATTTGTATTAAAAAGAAAAGTCACAGTTCCAGTGTAATTATGTTTAGATTTGACTTAAGAATTATAATAAGATACCAGTATAGTTGAACTGTATACTGCTAATATTTATTTCAATAGGAAATAATACAAGATGTAAATTGAGTTATAATCATAAATCATAATTATTAATTAAATATTACCATTCTTTAATTGATTCTCCTTTTTTTAACAATTCAATATCTCGAGGATGGAAATATGAAGAATCTCTCCAAGCTACCAATGATAATATAACCCTACGGCCATATTCATCAGTTGCAATTGTATCAATATTTTTTAAAATTTCAGGAATAATCGTCTGAAACCATATCACAATTTTACATAAGATAATCATTAATCTATTCGTTCAATAAACTATTTTCTATTAATTGTCAGAAATTTCAGTTTTTACCTTTTTTACAAGAACTGTATCATCAACAGAGTCGAAAAGAGCTAATAAAATTAAATATCCATATTCTGATGTGGCCAAATCACGAGTAGAAGCAGTAGTCTTGATTTGTTTCAATATAGCCTTTTTTTCCTAAAAACAATATTGCAATTAATATCCAAAGATTTATACTTTTTAGATGTTCGTTACCTTAGAGTTCGCAGACCATATAATGTACATAGCAAGGTGACAACCACTTTTGGATGTATAAAATAGTTCAATTGGGAATTCTTTAAGTGAAGTAAATAGTTCATCACAATTCTTTCCACCAGTATATAAAATGTATTCATATATTAAATTATGAACTAATGTTGTCTGCATGGAAGTCTTTTGCCTAAAATAATACACAAGATATAAATATTAAGTAATATGAGATCTCCTTAGTGTGTTATTTAAAATTAGTAGACTAATGTCATGCATATAATATTATATTATTGTAGAAATATTAGCCCAAGGCTGAGCATTGACGAGTTAATAAGTTAAAAGTTAAGTTAATTTCAACTTATTGACTTAAATTAGTACCTATATGTTTTAATTCACTTAACTTAAACTTGTTTGCCTTTAAATTAAGTAAAAATAAATTTTAAATTTTTATATTATCCAGAAAAAAATTTTATTTATTACAGTTTATGATAATTATAAATAAACCTATTTTATAATTTTATAATTATTATTGGAAAATATAGAAAACATCAGAAAAAAAAATGTTATAAGTATTTACGAAGAATTTTGTATTTATATTTATAGATGAAAACTAATTCATCATATTAATCACTAAAAATATAGGGGAAACATTAGCCACTCAAATAAAGACGTTAATATCCCCATGCCCAAAAATAGCATTTATAATACAATTATTATGGATTGTGGCTGTTTAAATGTATATTTACCTATCATAAAGGTACTTATAATAGTATATTAGTATATTACATAGTTTTACAGTTTTTTCACTTAACACTTATTACACTGCAACAATATATGCATTTACATTCATTAGGGAAGTATATTAAATTACTGCCAAAGTGGTTTTCATGTTTTTTTTTTTTTTATTACCCTAACTTATTAATTTATGTTTTTGGTAATAATTAAATAGATTTTAACTTAACCAATGTGTTTAAAACGCCTATTAATTAAATTTTAATGTTTTTAACTTAAATGAAAAAAAATGAAAAATTGTTAACAACTGAGTTGAACAATTTCATTAACTTGCCTAGCCTGGAAAATTACTGCTGTTACGAGGATTCAAGCCCAGTTATCTTCTAAAAACACATTTTATTAAATAACACTCATATAACCTACCTTTTATATTTATTTATACTTGAAAATATATTTAATGTCTTATATTTTTAGAACTAAACGCAAATTATACCTAGAATATATTTATATTATATATACATTTATATAAGATTCTAGAAGTTAATAATTAATATATCATAAACTACGGAGAAAAAATGTAAATTATTTCATAAATATTCATCATCAAACTGTTTACAATAAAATAGTTCTTGGGATTGAAAATTCTCAAATTTGTTTAAAATATCATAATAAAAACAAGGATATCAATCAGATTTTTCAAATAAATATCTTTGTCAAGTATTTATCTTAAGCAGTACTGACCAATTCGTAGAATTTATATAAATTTTTTAATATTTTGAGTTGCTGTTTTTATAGCTTTAAGTTTTTAAAACAAGAAATATTTTTACTTGAGCACATATTCTTAAGTAATTACATAACTTATTTCTAATGTGTTCCAAAAAGAAAAATATTAGTTTTAAAAATATTTACACTAGACAGGCATTTTTTAAAATAACTTCGTTAAGAGTGTGCTACACTAGCATGTGTTCATGCTTAGTTCTGTTGGCTTAAAAATTAGAGTGAATTGACCTCTTATAAAATTTAAAGGTAAAATTATTACCTAGGGAACCTCATACATTTTTTTTTATGTTAATTTTGAAGCAAGCTATAAGTATTTTAAAATCCATAAACAATTTGCAATTTTAAAATACTCATAACTTGCTTTAAAACTAAAATATAAAAAAATACCTGCGGTTCACTAGATAATATTCTTACTTCTAAATTTTATAAGAGGTTTTAAAGTCACTCAAATTTTTAAACCAACAGAGCTAAGTGTACAATTTGCTACATTATGCGTTTTTAAGACAAAGAAATCACGTGCGGGTATAGCGTCTAATAATATTTGATTATTACTTTAAAACAAATTTTCTAATGTGATCTTTTGTCTTTGCAAGTATAATGTCTTTTGTGTTTGGTGAATTCTTCAATACTTCAGCAAATGATAATACATTGGGTGAATCGCATAAAATACTAGATGCACCATATAATTCATGCATCATTGCATTCTGTTGTTCCTGTGTTGCATAAGTTGTATAAATCAAATCCATGATCTTAGCAGAGTTCTAAACAATTGTAAATTTCAAAATTAAAATATGCTTAATACCATATATTTTTTACAATTATACTTACAGTATGTAATGTAAATGTATAAATTTTTCCCTTGAGAGAATTAATTATGATTTTACGCTGTTCTGCATCACCTTGTTTCAGCATATTTTTAACACATAAGCATGCATACTTGGAAAGTAACATTTTTGGAACATGTTTTATTAGCTCATTTATGACTTGTGAACGAATTTCTGGTGTTCCTAGTTTCAACATCCATTGAACTATACGAGCAGTGTCATGTGAAAAAACCATCTATATAATCAAATATAAACTTTTTATTAATCTGATACAAAAATTTAAAATGTATAAAACTTACTGTTTCTAAATGTGATTTAGAGAATTTAAAAAGTTCATTCAATAGGGTTTCCTTTTTTTCCTTAGGACAATCATCACGACGCACACTTTCCCAAAGTTTTTTAGCTTTTACAACAGCTTCATAAAATGGGCATTTTTGTGTTTTACGTTTAAGCCGAAGCTCTTGCTTTTCTTTTTTAAACTCTTTCCAATTTGGTTTTTCAGTAGGCTTTTCTTCTATAAAATAAAATAATAATAATACATGTAAAATTAAAAAAAATAACATTAATTAAGCCTTAATCAAAATATGCATACCATTTGTAGTATTAGATTTTCCTTTAGTTTTCTTAGATGTTTTATTCTCATTATCAGTTTTTGATACTGTTATCTTAGATGATTTATTCTCTTTATCAGTTATTGTTACTGTTTTCTTGATGGCTTTAGTTTTTTTTTTTTCAGTTTTTAGTTTTCCAGGGTTTTCAGCAATATCTAATTCTTGGAATCCAGATTCAACTGTCTCAGCATCTTCAGATGTTAATGATTTAGTATAATCAATTGAATCTTCAGTACTTGATATTTTTGGTTTTTTTTTAATACTATTTTTAGTAGATGAAGTTCGTTTCATTGTCATTTTTTTAAAAATAAAACAAAAGGCTGAAAAAAAAATTATTAATTAATTAAATCTATCATAAGTTAAGATTAAAAAAATTGTATTATAGTATAAAACTAAAAATAAACCTGTTTAAACTTTGTAAAAAAAGTAATGAATTTATCTTCTTCAAATTTTCATACAAAAATAATGGAAACAAGAAATAGTACGAAATGACAATAAATAATTCTGATAAAATTTACATTTTATTTGGTTTTTTTTAAATTTTTTTTTTCATATTCATTTAAAGTTTGCTAAAAGAATTGTTGTTTATTATTTTGATATATGTACTTGTAGATATAAGGTATTTTATGTATATTTACAATAAGGTATCATTTAAGAGGATGTCATACATGATGTAGCATATGCTGCTCAGTCTTACGATTGCAAAACATGGTAAATTTTTAAATTATAAGAATACATTTTACTCTGTAATTTATAATATTAAAGTGAATCTATTATCATTTATTAAAGGTATGAATTTAGGGCACTACCTAAATTTTCTTGATATTTTAATTTTGAAGCAAGTTATGAACTTGAAAAAAAAAACACCTTACCTCTAAATTTTGAGTTTTCTTCACAAAAAATGTTGTATGTTACGTGTTAGTAAGATGGAGTCAACACATGCTACCTGCTTTCCCTCTTAGTTAAAAGATTGATGTTGAAATTTAAATTTTTAAGTGAGTGTTAAGTATTATATATTTATGCCACATTTAAAAGTTGCCATAAACTATTCTATCAATTATTTATTATTCATGGTGCTACATATACTCCTTTAGAATTTTTTTTACTAACAAGTAAGACTAGGTATATCAATATATAAAGATGAGTTTAATAATTTATTAGAAAAAATGAATGAATTTAATTTGAATTTTTCACAAAATATAATTTATGCAGACTTCAAACAAGCTATTCAATCAGCTATAGCTATCATATCAAACTGAAGAAAAATTCAAAGTGTTGGTCTGTCTACAGTTTTTAAAATATATCTGAAATTTAAAAATGTTTGAAATTAATTTTTGGTCTTTCTTTATTAAAAACCAATGAGGTTAATAACTGTTTTTATGAAGAAAAGTGGGCAATGAATATAAAGCCTAACGATCAAAGAAAACTTAAATTGAAAAAAATTATATTTTGTTGGAATGAGAATTTCAACCGTCAATATGGGATGAGATCTCAAACTCATTAATGTGTAGTATTGTGTACAACTAACGCATGTGAATAGTTTCACTCAAAATTAAATAGGATGTTTTATTCATCCTATCCAAACATTCTCCAGGTTGTAGAAATTAACTCATTTCATAAAATCATTAAATACATTTTAGAACAATAAATAAAAATAAAAATAATAAATAGTCTTAATACTCTTACACCATTTAAGTAATGACATTATTCAAGTTTTTAAAAGTGGTAAGGAAAATATTATGTATATATCAATTATAAACTAGGAGGCAACTCATACAAGTCGTGACAATACCACAGACGCAACAAAAGATCATTTATGGATGCAATTTAAATGTGATAAATGTGACAATAAAATAAATATAAAAGTATGTATTTACAATAAAATCTGTTCCCTACTTATAACTTATAAATGTTAGGCTACAAATAATACAGACATCAATAACAACACTCTACTATTATAATAGGACTCAGATACTAACAATGAAAAACTAACTTTTTTCATTTTTATTAACACTTAAAAAATTAATAATAATAGTAAAAAAATATGAGTATACCACTTCTAATTGTACAATTATTTACAGTAAAATATATTGGTTATAAGTAATCTTTAAGGGACTAAGAATCTTCTTTAATATTCTCTATGAAAAGTTAGAAAATTATAAATAATTGAAAACGGTTTTATTTTAAATTCTGAGTAGAGCAAGGAAGCTATTGGTTTTACAATGGTGTTTAATTTTAATTTTTTTTTTTATATCCTGTATACAAAATATCTACCAGAAGGAATGCTTCGATTTCAACATATAGTACCTTATCTTTTAGTAAATTGGATCAAGATGGTACTATAGAAAGGTAATTTTTTGATTTTCTCAATATTTATTTAAATGCACAGGAAAAACCACCGACAAATTGAAAAAACCGCTAAAAACGGGATTTTAATTTCTAATGCTTATCACCAGAGAAACGAATAAAAAGTAATAATACCTATTATACCTAATATAAATTCAACTTACAGAATATAATAAATAATAACAATATCTAGACTGACAAACCGTCTCAGCTCAGAATCGTTTCTCTTATATAATGATATTATATCATTGAATTCAAGTTTAATACAATACTTTATACAATGACCCAATTGTAACCTACTGTATAGCACAGCAACATCCACTAACCCACTTTTTTTAATTCTGTTTTTTAGACAATAGGTACATACATTGTTATTATTTTTAAACTGTTGAGAAAACTGAGCTATACATCAACCGGTAAACAAAATGTGTATAGGTTATATGCGGGGTTATATGGGAGTATTAAAATGAATATTAGTTGTATATAAATAACTCAAAATAATTCATATATGAACAATAATGATGACTATAATTGCTATTTGCTGAATTTTTTATAACAGTAGGAAAATAACTATAAAATATAGATTTTGTCTGGGCATAAATATTAATTCATTTTCCATATATCTCAATGACTTTTACTATACAAATTAATATAGATGAGGCATAAGCTCAGGACCGGCTTGAATGTGGTCGAAGCTATGCATAATCCAGGGCCCTGTTGCAAAAATAAATTATCGGGTCCATAGTTCATGTATTCATCTAATGATTCATATTCATTGATTGGCTTAAAATTGGACTGTCTCTGAGAGCCCCAAAGTGACTACTAACACTCACTAAATAGGCTTGGCAAAAACATTTTGCACATAGCCCAGATACCAATCCGTCCCTGTATACGCTAGACCAAAGGTCAGCAATTAGTTACTATGCAGATAATTTGATAAAAAATTTTCAAATTTAAGCTCTTTAATGTAAGCAAAGTATCTAAGGGGAAAACATTATGTAATCAATAACTCAATTATGATTTAACAATAAGAACCTACTTTTTTTAGTTATTAATAATACAGTATGTTAAAATATAAAATAATTAACTATTACATTTATTCCAATTTATTAATCTAATTCAAACAATTAAAGAATTTCCTTAAGGTTAGAGGGCCATTGTTAATAAGTATAAGTAATACCGAGGTATACCAACTCAACCATCAAAATTTTCAAAAATGTAATACCTAGCTATTTAAAATAATGTTAAATTTGCTATCTTGACTATTGCATCCCCTTATACCAGTAACCTAACATTTTTATATTACCCATTAAAAATAATTGCTGTTTCCATTTTATTCAAATTGTATAGATAAATGTCATAAATGTAATTCTAAAAATCCAAACTAAGTCTACAACAACAAAAATTAATCTGTTTAGTTAATGGTGACATCTTCTTTTTTCAGTCTTCCTGTATACTTTATGAATGAAGTAGATAAAAATAAACAAACTAGGCTGATTCTTGGTATTGTGTTGAAATGGAAGAGGTTTTAACAAATTAAAATAATTGCATTTAATGAACTAAAAATATAATACAAAAACCATTTATGGAAATTCATGTAAATGGGTTTGATAGAAGGCAAAATTAGTATTCATCAAAATTGTAAAAAGAACAGTAGGTAAACAAACATTTGTTTAATCGAAGTGATTTAACTGATACATACATTTTATAACTTAAAATACCCGGTTAATTAATGTAAGATTACTCGGTTGTTATGTAAATTCAAACTATCCTACAATATATCATGTTTAAAAAAAAACATCAACAGAACGGATTGTAATAATTTGATACTATGTGTACGAACGGCCCTGCAGTGCACACATTCAAGTTGCATTTAGTTGCAAAACTCAACCTCAAAATATATTCCAAACAAACAGAGCCTGAAAACGGTCAATAGAATAGCTTTTACATGCTCCCAATGGTTGGACAATACCTGTAGAGACCGTAATAGTTATCTACGAGTACAACATTATAGAACGCGAATGTCCATTAGAATTAAAAGTTATCGAATGAACTAATACGAACGCTAACGCGTTCGGTACTTACTAGACAACCGAAATTGGAGTTTGGAAACGATCGTTTGAGCTGGCGAACGAAGAGAATTTCAAGTCAGAGCGGCGCGAGCGACGAAAATTTGTTTTCTCGCGAATCAACAGAGCCGACCATGTGGATGTGGATGAGTATTAATGTTTATCACGGTCCACGGCGTGGTCCGTGAAGTTTTGTCGTTTAGTTTTTGGTGTAAGAACGTCAGACCTGATAAGAACTCGTGATAACGATCCAGGCGACAACCTCCGATCGAGTGTAGTTGGTCGCGGTTACGTGGTCGACCGACGTTTGTCGATCGCTACAAAATTATTATTATTATTATTATTATTCCGTCCAATCATATACGTCATTGAACATACCAAATGACCAACTCGTTATCATAGCAAAGGCATCGAGTTTTAACATTTTATTTATTCCGAACCTGTAAGTCATGGTGCTTGGCCATTTTGGTTGTTGTTGAAATGTTACATGACAATAAACCGTAATAAATAATAATAATACAATTCTGATATTTATTACAACATACGACATTTGACATCACAACATCATTGTTGTAATACTTCAGTAAAAAAGATTTCAAGTAATCCATCGTTTAAGGTATGTTGAATTGAATTTTAAATTTGCTTTATGTATATGCCGTCTGAATGACGCCCATTATGTTAATGTAAAGATTGCTATTGTTGTAAACGTCGTAACGTCAGTAATTTTGCGATACGATACTGGCTATTCATGTATCCTTTTTCCTTTATTTATACCGAGTTTTCAATATGGCAATCCGGAATTATTAGTGGGACTTTGGTGTAAGGAGGTCAAGAATCTATTAGGTATCGTTTGAAATTTGCGGATTTTTAGTTTTTGTTATAAGTACCTAGGGCCCGGATTTTTATGCAAAAATGTTTGTTAAATATGCACTCAAAAATTCAAAAATATGCAAATAATATGCAAAAAAATTTATTGTTTAAAAATACAAAAATTAAAAATATACCTAGTATTAAGTGAAAAAAAAATACAATTTAAATATAATTTTTTAAAATGTGTATAAAGCATAAAAATTTGTATTAATTATTGAAAGAATACCAACATGATGTAACAAAATGTGCTTTTAAATTATCAAATTGAAAAATTAATAATAAGTTGTAAAATAATGTAATAAAAGTAATAATAGGTTGTGGGGGTAAACTTAAGTTTGGACATTTTTCTTTAAAAGTACCTACACGACTAGGTGCTTTTAAAAAAACTTTTTTTGTGTTAGATATCAACAAATCAACATTTGAGAATTCATCCCTAATAGCTTCTGATAATCTATGAAGCCATGGGCCATACAAGTAGTATGGATTAGTTTAGGATAAAATACCTTAAGCGCATGTCCAGAGTTTACCATATAAGGAGCGGCGTCTGTGACATACAATAACACTTTGTCATGCAATACTTTTTCAGGCCATAATATATACTCATTGAATCATTGAATAATTTAATATAATGAATTATATTTGTCAGGAACGTCGGCGATCGGGCAAAATCGGCATATATATCAAACTTTGAGTAAAATTTAAAATATTTTATCAAGTATTTATTAAATATGCACATTTTATGTAATTACCCCGAAATATGCAATTATTATGCATTTTGATGCAAATATGCAAAAATATGCAAAATAAAAAATTAACAGTAGAATCTACGTTTTACGAAACGTCAAGATATTTAATCAGAATTATTATACGTCAAATGTAGAAGAATATGCATTTGCATAAAAATCCGGGCCCTAGTTATAAGACATAGACATATTATTACGATGATTTTAAATCCTCCAGATCTTCACAGATTTCTACACATGATGGGTGATGTACATCAGGGAGAAGAAATATTCTAGATTTTGTATGGTCACTGCATGAATGGGTAATGAGGAACCTTACTTTTTATATAAACAAGTGACTTGTCTGGTGTTAGGTTGGTAGACTTTGGGGTTAAGCCCTGTGAAAACAGTTCAGCTATCGTGTAACGATGCCACATGAAAAAAATAAAAAAAGACTGGTAGACTTTCTGAGTAATGCGCAATACTGATGTTAGTTAAAACGCTTATGGTTCTACAGATCACTGCTTAACATACCTTATAAATTGTTTGCATGCAATTTATTGAATTAATATTAGTTATTAATGGCTTATATTAACTTAATTCATGGCATATACGTCACAACCTTTAAATGCATTCTTTAGTTAGACTATACTCCATTCAGTTCAAGATTAAACCACTCGGATGACCAAAACACGGTTTTTCTGTGTATCCCTGCCACAATCTAGACACCGGTGAGAGCTTAGCACTGGTGCCTGACGACCAATGACTGTCGGCCATTCACAGAATGCATAGCCATCTGATGAGGGGTCAGGCCAGTGTTTGGGGACCCAGTGAAAGCGGTTCAATCTTAACTTGAACGGAGTATATATATATATAATAATATAAAAATGACAAAATAATATTTTAGAAGTTAGATTAATGAATATATTATATTCGTTAATCTAACTTCTAATACACAATAAATATTTAACTACAATGTCATGGATACTCGATTCATTAAATTATATGATGTAAGCAATGGTATAAATAGTTAGCAAATGTAATGTGCATATATAACACCTAGGTATCTATTTTGTTATTATTTATCTGTATGATTAATGTTAATTTTTTACCTAGATGGAAAACAAAAAAAAATTGGCTCTACTTATTGTAAACCATTTGAAAACCCAACTAAGTAATGGTAGCTTCAGTGATGAATCACTGGAAAGTATGGAAGTAGCAGTTCAGTGCATTGAGTCAGCATATAATTTAAATCCAACAGAATCTGATGAAGTTCCCGTTAAGTTGGAAAGCATTGTGAAAGAATATTATCAAGTTAGAGAACCAGTGGTAAATAATTTATTATTTATTTTATATGTGAGATAAAACCAACAGAGCTGATTAATCGAAACATTTCCTTGCATTAAATTTATCATTACTATATTATTTATATAATATAATCTATAACAGGTGTTTAAATAAAATACAGTGTATTCTTGGTAATTTAAACCTTGATAACTTGAAACTCTTGAAATCTCGAACAAATGAAATTTCCCTTCAAATAACAATAATACATTAAGATTTTGATAACTCAAAATATTTAGTAAGTAAAATTTTTATTTTCCTTGTTGGCTCATAGTTACCGAGAGTACACTGTATTAATTTAGTTGATTATCATTCTAATTGTATTACCGTTTATTAAATATACATGTATATTAATTAATCAATGGTATTAACTAATTGGAATATTTTTCATATTCTAATAAACTTTAATTTCTAATAAGTATTTTTATTTAATTGTTCATGCATGTTAATTAAAACAGTGATATTTACTTTAGACAAACGATAAGTCAGAAATAAGTCAATTTAATAAAGAACAAGCTGAACACCATAAGAGATATGGGAATGATTATATGAAAATTCAAAATAATAGCAAGGCTATTGAATCTTACACCATGTAAGTAAAAATAAAAACATGGATCTATTAAACTCTGTGTTTAATACTTTAATTTGTGTAGTTTTTAACAATAGAAAGTGTATTGCAACTTAAAAATGTTAATATTTATAAAAATAAAAACATTGTTATTTTTTATTTTTATAGACATTCTATAAAATTCTAAAAATTCTTAAATATTATCTAATATATTACTATATCAATATTGTTTTATTTTAGTACATAATTAACTTACAAATATCAAGTCAATAATAAATATATTAGGTATTATTTAAATATTCTCATTACTGACCAATTCGAAAAATTATACTAAATGAACGTATTATGTTTATTGTAAAATTCTAATTTCAAAAACTAATAGTTTCATACCAAATTTACATACTTATTTAAAAATAATGTCTACTTAATACTTTAAATATAAAAATAATAATTTTTACATATAATGCATAGTAAAACTTGTATTTACCTATAAAATGTTTAGCACTTATTTCTAATTAATTGTTTTGTCAATATCAATTTAAATTTCAGGGCGATCAAATTAAATCCACTCAATCCAATTTATTATTGCAACAGAGCTGCTGCCTTTAATGCTATCGGAAATTACACTGGTGCTATTACGGATTGCCAGAAGGCTATTGAACTTGACTCTACATATTGCAAGGCATATTGTCGTTTGGGGTGATTATAATTCTAGTTAATAATAATAAAATTTAGATTATAAATAGCATTCAATAGAAATTAATCATTTTAATGTTAGAAACCACATCAAATTTTTTTTTATTAATATAATGTTTACATGTAATATTATTAACAGAGCTAGGAACTTTTTTTTTTTTTTTTTTAAATATATTTGACTTATTATGAAAAATTACAATCTATACATCGAGTACAATAAGTAATATAAATATTTTACAGATAGTTCACAGGTTAAATTATATACATGAAGGGGAAATCACACATTTGTGACACCCCTGAATATTTTAAGTACTTAATCTTAAGTTATCAGGTCACAGCACCAGTTTCTTTTGAGGCGTCTAGCTGGATTGCCGGGGAGTGTAAGTGAGGCTAATTCGTTTATTAGTTGATTAGGATTATCTCGTAGTTTGGAGTGGAAGTGCTTGTAGAAGATAGAGGCAGTTTCATTGATGGATGGTTATTTGAGGTCATAATTTAATGACTCATTTGAGACAAACCAGGGTGCACCAGTGATTACACGTTGAAATATGTTTTGAAAGGCTTGAATAGTTCTTTTATAACTTAGTAGTTAAGTTCGAACGAAGGAATGGTCTTAAAAGGTGGAGTCTGGAACTAACCTTTTTTTCGCTTATTCTTTAGATGAGGAGACCAAGTTAAGCATCTGTCAAGTATAAGCCCAAGGTATTTAACTTTAGTCGAGTGAGTGTTGTCAATGTTGTTTATTGTTACAGGTGGACAACTATGAGGTCGAAGTGTAAAAGTGACAAAGAAAGACCCTAGATTCGTTGGTTTTTATCTTCCAATTAGTGAACCATTGTGAAAGATTATTTAGGTGAGTTTGTATTTGTTGAGATGCAATGGTATGGTCAGAAGAAACTGATAATAAAGCGGTATCATCAGCATATGTTCCAACTATAGTATCTTCAGATGTATGCAGGTCTGACGTGTTTATGGTATATAAGAATGGAACGATATCACTGCCTCGAGGGACACCAGCTAAGATAGGAACTTGATTAGAGTGTTGTAAGTTGTGGACATTAAATGAACGATTTTCTAGATATGATTTCAGCATTAGGTATAAATAGGCAGGAAATATTTTTTTTAATTTATAAAGAAGACCTTCGTGCCAGACGGTATAAAATGCTTTTGCAACGTCTAAAAACACTCCAGCACAGTATTTTTTGGTTTCAAGTGCTGTTGAGATGGTGTCCACTACACAGTGAAGTTGATGGGTTGTGGCATGAAGATAACGGAAACCAAACTGGAAGTTTGGAATACTGTTGTCCAATTGCGCAATGGTAGTGATGCGCTTGAGGATGAGTTTTTCTAATATTTTTCCAAGAACCGGTAGAAGGCTAATAGGCCGGTACAAGGAGGGTTGTTCTGGGGGCTTACCAGGTTTACCAATGACTGATGATTTCTAAGTAGTTGGGAAGTAAGATAGACGAAAGGCAGCATTATAAATATGTGATAGATGAACAATTATTTTCGTAGGGAGATTTTTAACAACTTTGTTGGAAATAAGATCGTGGCCTGGAGATTTGTTATTTGCAAGTTTTTTTATAATGCCTACTATCTCCGCTGGGGAGGTTGGTTTTGCAGGGAGTGCCATAGGTAAAGTTGATTGAAGAGAATCCATAACTGTCGACATGTGTAGTGCTGGTGTGGAAATAAGATGTGGTTTGAATACTCCTGATTGTTCTTCGGCGAGAGTATCCGCTTTTTCCTTGTCTGAGAAAGCAAGTGAGTTGTCTGGGCAGCGAATTGGAGGAGGGGAGTCCTTAATCCGCAATATTGACTTTGTTTTACGCCAAAACATGCATTTATAATATATTTTAATAACTTAAAAATAAATTATTATTTTTTAATTAGGTGCAAATTTAGGTATAATTTTAATTGGTTTGTAGATCTTGAAACATTTTTGGGTTATTCAGTCTAAAATTTAAAAATGTAAATGTATTAAATACACCAAATGATTACGACAATAAAAATGTATGAATTTGTATGTCATAAACACGGTTCTTGGTAAAAATAAATTGTTTTTACCCGGTCGATAAATTGCAATCAATTTTTGATAAAGTATAATTAAAAATTTAGACTAGTCTGGGAGCTTTTTGTCTCAAATTTTTTTTTAAATCAATATCATAATATGCATTAATATGCTTTAAATCTTTAAATATGCTAAATCATGTAAACTTTCATTTTTGTGTTTGGATTATATGTACTATGAAACAATTTTGTAACGAATCAGATTTTTAATATGTAGCTTCTTAAGAAACATGCAAATGCATAATGTTCTAAGCCCTGATTATTATCAACACTAATACTTGTTAGGGGACTAGTAAAGTTAAATGTAATGGAAATTGGTGTCTGTTACTGTCAACTACAGAAACCAAGTTATTTATATTTTAAAATGGTATTTCACACATTTTCAAAATTAAACTTAACAGGTTTAAATCATGGTTACATCTACATGTATTATGTTATGCTTTTCAATAAAACCTATAAGTTTTATTTATGAACTGGTTTCTTAAACTTATTTTTGCTATATTCACCTGTTCATAATACAGTTCAATTAAATATATGATAAAAAAGGAATAAAGGTTGACACTAACATTAACCTATTTACCTATACTGAATAGTTATTAAAATGTATTATTTTTTTTTACCAGGGTAAATTGTAAAAAAAAAAAATGCTAGTCCAAATCAGTAAATAATATGGTACTAACTACTATTATAATTTACAGTACAATTTAAATAATTATTTTTATTTTTTCTATAAAAATTTAATGTAATTTCAGCTTTAAAAAAAAATTAATATACATATATGTAAATTGGTATATTTTTTATTTATATTTATTTAAATTTGTGATAGGGATATATTTTGTCATAATGTTTTTGATTATTACGTTTTATTGTATTATTTAGTATCCACTTATTAAATATGGAGATCATATTATATAATATTTTAATTGTTATTAATAATTTTTTTCGTGTTAAAAAATGTATCTCTATCTATGTATTTTGTATTTTATTTCAATAGATTAGCTTTTTCTTACCTGAGGGATTATCAGAAGGCTGTGTCGTGTTACAAAAGAGCATGTGAGTTAGATCCTGATAACGAGGGTTATCAACGGAACTATCAGCTTACTTTGAATAACATGCATACTAATCCTGGACCACCACCATCATCAATACCACCACCACCACCACCACCGCCACCATCACAATCGCCGAATGACCCTATCATGGCAAATCCAACTATAATGGAAACCGCTGCACGTATTATGACTGATAATCCAGAAGTTTCAACAGTGTATGCAATAATTTTTACTAGATTTTTTTTATTATTCGTTAAATTCCAATATTTAAGAATTGAAAAGCATTACTATAATTTTTTTTTAGGTTAAGCAACATTTTGGGAGATGTAACTAATTCTGGCAGTGATGGACTAGATAGACTGATGCAAGTGTGCGTATATTTTAAATTATTAGAAATAAATGTGTATGTTTATTCTTATGATGACAGTGTTGATAATGTGCTATACAATATTTATATTTAAATTCTATTTTAAATAACTTATAAATATATAGAAGCTAGAAACAATACATCTAAATATTAAAAATAAACATATATTTAAGTTTTTAAAATGTATATATATTTATAATTATTATTTTGTTTTTTTAGTGGACAAACTATAGTTACTCGTCTGCAAACAGCCAATCCCAATCTGTTAGATGGATTACGGATGCAATTTCAGAATGCTCAAAACGAAGGACAACCGCCACCGCACAATGGATATCATGATGATGAACCTCAATCTTAATCTAACAAAATATAAGCTTTAATAACTTAAATATTTTCCTATTCATAAACATTGATACAATTACATTTTTAAAAATTAAATTAATTTAGTCTGTGTCGTTAATAATATTTAGTCAGTTAGAAGTTGCCAAGTATAAGTGCGGTTGGTGAACCAGGAGGCAACATTTGTTGTCGAAATATTTAAAAATAAAGTCACCCATTCTCGTACTACCACATTTTTTTTAATCTCAAAACTTTTAATTAAATTGATATTTACCAGTCATCTTTATTTTACAATAAGGTCATAATATATATTTAATACATCCATGCACTTTTGGTATGTGATAATTTCCTAAAAAAAAACAATGAAGGTGGAGACACCAACCATACATACGTTTGGCAACAAAAATAGTTCTTTGAAGTACTGTATAAATTATAAATTCTATAATATTGGCCATGGTTTTCAAATGAAATCTAAGTATAATTAAAATTATGTTTGTATACCCTTTTTGTATACATATTACAATATATAATCGGTTTTTTTTTTTTTAATAGTGCCCTTTTCATTGAATTTTAAACAGTTGTCATTCGTTATTGAATGATGTCATCTCCCCCGCACCCTATCCATAAATATTTAATTATTAATATTCCACTTTTATACTTTGTTTGAACCCCAGTAACATTCAACACTTCTCCAGTGTCTAATGTTTGTAATACATTTTTAAATTCAAATAAAATAATGTATACATAATATTATAATATTTTATTTATCATGTCTCTAAAATCCATTTGGGTTGACTACTGTGAAAATGGTTCAATACATGGGTTGAGGCACGTTATTCAGAAAGATGAGAAACCATGGAAGAGGTATCTAGTTATTAATACTGATGTGACTGATTTATTATTAAACTTATATTTTTGAGGGTTTAAAATAATTTAAAATTGTACATACAGATTTATGTGGATACTGTTGTTGGTTGTTGCCAGCACAGCTATAGTGGTTTTGGTTTCAGCATCTTGGGAGAAGTATTCTTACTCTTCAATGGAAGTTGCTGTTGATGACCCTCGTTATCCACTCACCAAGATTGATTTTCCTGCAGTAACTATTTGTCCAATCAGCAAAATCATATATTCAAAGGCTCTCAAATTAGTGCTTAAGTATATACAATTAATTTAGTTTGATTGTTCTGGAAAAATATAAATGATGTTTACCAAATAAATCTTTATAATAGTTTATTTCGGCTGTTAAATGAAAACTGTAGATCAGAATTGGAGAAAAACTATATAACAAAAACCATTTGAATGAGATTGAAGTGGAGTGTAGTAGTTAACCTATTATTTTAGAAAAAATGAGTATATTATAGTTGTATATAAAAATATCTTTGAAAAAGGAAATATTATCAGGATAATTTTAAATATATTTATTGATATTCTCAGAAATATTAGAATTTCATGATGTACAAAGAAAAATAACTATTGAATGATGTTGAAAAAAAACAGCATAATATGTATGTTTGGTACCTATAAACTGAGCTCAACCCAATTTTTTTTTGTGGATGATACTACCTACATGAGTAATTTTAGTGTTAAATTAGAATAGTTTCTTGTGAGCATCAATGCGTCATAAATTATATCAAATTATGAATTGAATATAAGGAAATTGACAATTTGTTTTATTATACATTTAAATTATTTTTGTATTATCATTTATCATATATAAATTATCATGGGAGAATATTTATATCTTAAAATTACAATTTTTTCCTCTTATAATCATTTGAATAATATTAAATTGATTTTTAACATTTTGTTTTAATTTCCATACTGCTACTAGATGATTTACCAAAATACATTCTTTATTTCATAAAACGTTAAGAGTTTATGAAAATTAACTTTAAAAAAATAAATAAATGTTTTATTAAAATTATTTTTTGAATGAAAACATGTATTTTTAATTACGTATTCCAAAGCAGAATATTTCTTGGTGTATATCGATACATAAAAATCATATTTTAGGCGTGTCGTTTATGAGTAATAAGTATTTAATGTTTAGATGAGTGGAGTGGAACATTGGTACCCCTCAAAATGTTGGTCCACTTTGTTTCAATCTACTTGTTCAAAATTTAAAATCTTTTAATCAAAAGAACTTTAAAACATAATATAGATAAAAAATATAATGTTTTCCAAAAATATTACTTAGAAGTTAGAATTATGACTTACAATTATGTGAAACAAATATTCTCAAAAACGTGTTTTCTAAAATAATGAGATTCTTATAGTAAATTAATCACCCCTTACATGCCATTTGCAAGGCTGGGCATTAACGAGTTAAAAAGTTAATTTTATTTTAACTTTTTAAAACTAGTTACTTTTGGCTTTTCATTAACTTAACTGTTAACTTACTAAATTTCTTTTTTAATTAATGTAAAATTGACGAATTCATTTTTCATTTTAAGAAGTAAGTTAAATTAATTTATTGTTTTTAATTTTATTATATTTCATTATTTTAGTCTATTTTGTTTTCATGTCAAAAAATATTTACCGTGAATTTAAAGTTAAAAATGTATAACATTCGAATCTAACTTATATGGAAATACTGTATGAAGTATAAGCACTGTAATCTATAATTTAGTTTTGGGTTAGAAAAAAATGAAGTACGCTAGCGTTGTATAAACAAATTAACTTTTTTTTAACTTCATAAATAGTTAACAAAAAGTGTGTAATAACTTTTAACTTTTTGTTATTAATCCATATTACCTTAACTTAACTGAGTTTAAAAAATCATTAACTTGCCTACCCTTGGCCATTAAGCCATTTGTATGCTTCTGAATTACCATGGATACCAATATCAGTACATTATATATTATTTATATTATTTTATATCTACTTGAATAAACATTAGTACACCACCACTGTAAATAACTCAATGTTACAAAAGAATTTTGTAACTAGATAATTTTTTGATAACACTTGTATAGGCGTGTTATTTTTAATTTATTATTATGTAAACATAAATAAGTAGGCACGTGGTACCATTGATTAAATATATTTATTGCATACCTATACCTACCAAATTTAACATTCTTATTATTATGTATTGGTTAGGTACCTACATTTATATAACAATATTAAATATTAAATTAAATTTTAATATGTGTAGGATTATAGTATTATTGAAATACATAGGTAATAATATCCATAGGCGCAATTTCAGATTTTAACTTGGAGGGGCATAACATATTAAAATGAAACAGAACCATGGGGGCTATGCCCCCCCCCATTCCCTCAATTCAAATACCACAATCATATTTTTCTCACCCACTTTCCTACATTTAATATATTATAATGCAGCTGTTAATAAAACTAAAAATATTTGTACCTATTAAAACAAATAACAACATTTAGGTAGGTATTCATATGTTATATAATCTAACAATCATGTTGGTACACGGGCTCGTTTCCATGTTTTCATGTTCAAATTTCAGAAAAAAAATTCTTCAAACAATATCTACTGTATTAGGTATGTGGGTTAGATAATTAATGAAGGATGTAATACTTCAATTTAAATACAAATCATGGAGGGGCTATGATAATAAGCTGATGTCTTATATTATAGGTAGGTATAATGACTGTAGCTGTATGTTTCTAAAGACATGTTTAGAAGTTATCATAGGCGCCCATAGGTAAAATTTTAGGTAGGGTCAAAATAAAAAGTTCTCAAATGTAATATAAGAAAGATTTAATGTTATTTTCACATACCTATAAATGTAAATATGCTGTTATTTTAATAAGTAGGTAAATATGGAAAAGTAAAATAAAAAATCAAGTATTACAATCAAGCAATTAAAACTATTAATTAGCCTTTAACATTTTTGGAACAAATAAACAACACCAAATTATTGCTCTGAAATAAATTATGCTACTTAACATTTCAAAATTATGAACTAAGTAGATATCTATATAATATATAAACAAAGGTTTAGTGAGAATTTTAAACCAGATTTTCGCATGACCCTAATCTATTCTCATGGAGTGATTTTCCTATACCTTTTAACTTTTACAAATTACATAATAAAAAACCTAGACTAACTATTTTAGTTATTTTGTTGTGAGTGTATAATATTATTCGTGTGTACTTGAAACTTCTAAAGTACACAATTATATATCTATGATAGTATCGGGGTTTGTTGTTGATGTATAATGCGTTATAAGTACCTAATGGATATTGTGATATGATTAATTTGGAATTTATTATAGGTCAATTTTATTGTTAATACCATAGATATGTATATAATATGTCTTAAACCTAGACTGACATACTGTCTCCGCTCAGAATCATTTTTCTGATGATATTATTATATCATTGAATTCAAATTTAATACTATCCATTATACAGTTACCCACTTGTAACCTACTGTACAGCAGAGCACCTTTTTTTAATTTCAATCTGACAAAACTAATACACAACCTAGTAAAAGTTTCGATTTTAATAGAAATAGCAATAGCTGTGTCTTATCGTTTACTAAACAGTGAAACAACTGGTTACCTATTTTTAAGTATTTTAATTATCATGAAGTGAACCTAAAATTACAAAATGGCACGAATAGCCTTGGCGCTGGCGCCCTGGTCTATGATTTTATCTTACAGTTATTAATGTAATTTACAATAATAATATTTATGCATTTTTTAATTTTAATTTTTAAATACCTATATATTATAAGTATCCACTTTCCGGGGCAAATTTTTAATTTTTAATGTAACCTAATTATTATGCTTCAAACTTATAAATTGTTGTATTTTCTAAATATAAAAATATGAATCCATGTTTTAAATTGTAAATCAAGCATGCGGTGAATTTTTCCCTGTGGAACATTATGTAAAAGTCAAATTCGAAGATAGTTATTGGAGTATAAAAATGTGAAAGATGTATGTAACCTATTAGATTATTAGTTTACAATTTTATCTTCAATACTACCTTTAATACTGTTTGTTTTATCCTGGATATTTTATAAACATTATTTGTATTAAAACTATTACCCAGGTTAAGTAAACATGAATGTGATATGTGACCAAATTTAGTATTAAGACTTAATCAGTAAGTTTAGTAGATGTAGGAAAAGTAAAACTAGGTGTAGATAACAATAATGTAGTAGATATTAAAATTAATATATAAAGAATATGAATAGGTCAGAAAAATGATAATGTTGAAAACTAGACAACGGTGTTTAATTTAAGTGCTTTTTATATTATTTGTTTGTTTTTTTTTTATGTACGAATGAAAGTGATCGGTGTACCCAACATGCTTAAGTAAAAACATTTTTTTTAAATCTCAAAGGAACAATACAATGTAAACTAATGTAGCAACACCTATCAATGTATAAACACATTTTTAAGAAGAACTAAGCAACTTAACATGTAATAGATTCTTGGGAGTAACATAATATTTATTAACACTAATAATGTATAACTGAAAATTGATACTAAACTCAAGGAATTTTAAAACATTATATTATCATATATTTAATTAAAACTTACATAATCAAATTATAAATGCTTGTTATTAACTATTTTCCTGGTAGTTATTAAAAAATAAACAGATGGAATTACTTAACTATTGAATTAAACCTAATCAGTTGAATACACAATGTAATAGATATTAATAAATTCTCTGGTTGACAATATATGAATATACAACACAAGTTATAGTTAATAAAAACAAATTTTAAAACTTAAATTTAATTAATAAAAATATAGACCTTAATTATTGTTTCTAATATATGAAATACGTCATATTTAAATACATTCAATAAATATATAGTAAAAACTTAACTTAATTGAATAAGTTGTTCAACAATATCTTGCTGGAAGTAACATTTTATTTTAAATTATAAAATTAACAAATAAAAATTACTTGATTATTAAATTAAACCTAATCAGTTAAATACACAATGTAATAAGAATTTCAATAAATTCTCTGATTGACAATATATGAATATACAACACAAGTTATAGTTAATAAAAAAAAAAAATCTTAAAACTTACATTTAATTAATAAAAATATATACCTTAAATAATAGTTTAAAACAAAATAGAAAAACATGAATGTGAGATTCAGGTTATACACAGTGAATTGTCCAAAGAAAAATGCCACCTGTCGCCAAGGAATCGAACTCGTGTCGGCTGTGTCGCAACCGACACCTTAATCCGCTCGGCCACTCCGTCCCCCTAAAGGTTGTGATTTATTATAAAGAGTTTGATGCATTTTTAATGCACTTTTGAAAGTAAACACTTTTTTACATTTAATACAGTCATATTGGTATTTTATTTTATTGGCACTATTTAACCTTGTTATATCTGAATGTGAATCATCCAATAAAGATATCTTAAATTTTTTATTTCTTAAGCTTGTTAAATCTGAGGTTCCACGTTTCTAGAATTAATAGGACCCAATGAATTAGATTCAGTTTCAAAACGATGAAACTGAACTGTTGACACATTTAATCTATTTCCTGTTCATGATAGATCATATGGTTTGTCCAAAGAACTACAGAGGTGAATGTTTTATCACATACAATACATTCATGCATATTGCACTCCCTGTGATCACTCATATGTAATGCAAATGCATGTATATTTGTAGATAAATAATTTTCACAAATTTTACATAAAAAAATAGCATTGTTTTGTGATGTCTGATCATAATCATCACTGCGAAATCCATTTGTAATATTATTCAATTTTTTCATACAGAAATAAGGTGTTTCTTTGTTTGCCAAAGTTGATTCATTGCTATTCACTGAATCCACTTGATTTGATATTTCCTGTTCATGATAGATCATATGGTTTGTCCAAAGAACTACAGATTTGAATGTTTTATCACATACAATACATTCATGCATATTGCACTCCCTGTGATCACTCATATGTAATGCAAATACATGTATATTTATAGATAAATAAGTTTTACAAATTTTACATATAAAAATATCATTGTTTTGTGATGTCTGATCATAATCATCATTGCAAAATCTATTTTTAATATTATGCAATTTTCTAATACAAAAATAAGGTGTTTCTCTAACTGTAGATAGAATATTATTATTAGCTATATTAATAGGGTTTTGTTCTGCCATTAAATCATGAGGTTTGTTTGTCAAAGTTGATTCATTGCTATTTGCTGAATCCACTAGATCCGAACTGTTCCTTTCTTTGACATTTGTACACAAGTTTTTTTCTTGCTTTATATTTGGGAAATTGAAATTGTTTGCCATTGAGATTTGTGAAGCTGTCGGTACAACTGATTGCTGTCTCAATACACTTGATTGCTGTATGTTTATTTGTTGTTGAAAATGGTCTCCGTTCACGGAATTGTGATGTTTTTGAATGTGTTTATTCAAACCAATTTTTAACTTAAACTTTTTTTCACAAAATGTACATTTATTAGTTTTACAATTTATTTGTCTTTTGTGTTCGGCCAAGTGATTTTTTAAAAGATGATTTAATTCAAAGCTTTTTTCACAAATATTACAATGAAATATTTTATCACTCCTATTTTCATGATTCAAGTAAATATTATCTTCGACATCCTGTGAAAAAAATTGATTTATCAATACAATATTTAATGTTAATGAATTTAATGTATTCTTGTTGTATGCTGTCTATCACATGTACGTACCCCATTTATAACACATAGTGTTAAATGCGATCTACTACCAAATATGCATATCTATTACTCTATTACAAATTTTTTAGATTCACACGTGAGCAGTCTCGTTAGCTGGCGTCGGAATGTCTAAAAATGCTAGCAAAGATACTTTTGATTGTTTTTTTAGAGTTTTTAACAGTGGTGTATTATAACTGGGTTTATATGGATAGGTAATCAGTCAAAAAATCCGTTTTGAAGAAGTTGGACAAAATATACGGACTTATTTTTTTTACTATTAGAAAATAAGTAAGAGCACGTTTATATTGTCAGACAAAAAGTCCAAAAATACAAAATATTCTACGAAATGTATTATATTAATAACTAACTGATCTTGTGCACATCATTGCCCTTTAAAATACCAACTCCAAATGATTCAACAGTTCTTCATTTAATACCTGGCTTAGTGATGTTCAAAAATTCCCATGGATTTACCCCATCATAATCTCCATTAAAGATTTGTAACACAGTCATAACAGTGATTTGTAGTCACGCTCATTTTGATTGTTATGAGTTATGACTAAATATAAAATACAGGTCTAAAATAATGATATTAAATGATAATAACTATTTTATTTTTTGTAGCCGATAGCAACCATATAATAAACAAAAATATATTATTAAATATAAATCTATAAAAAATTCTCATAGTTGCGATAAAAAAAATTAGGGCCACTTATCGAAATTAAATATAGCCTATTGATCTAGTTAGTGTAGCTTTCTGATGGTAAGTAGTTCCAGAGATTACCCGGAACAAACAATTTGTCTTCTTTATATATCAGTAAAGATTAATAATATAATATATCATATAATTGATATTCATTTAAAAATGTAATTAATTTAATGCAATATTAATATATTATATTTGATAATTGTTCTTTATACTAGTTATTTAAAATAATTATCATTATAATAATTATTATTATTGTAGAGTGATCAATGTTCGTATTGACTATTTTTTTTTTTTAATTTTTATAATATTTATAAACTGTAGGTACAATATAATATAATATAAATATTTAAAAAGAAAATCAATTATGCACATTTTTTAAACGAATATTAATTATATGTACATGAAATATATTCCTATATAATATACTATATTATATAACTATAAATGGAAATGTTATAGAATGTATTTTGGACTTTTTGTACAATTTTTTTCAAAATGCACTTTTTGTTCAAGTACTTTTTGTGGGATCCATAATATAGTGTATACCCATTTACCATTTAGTGAATTGGGGTAAACCCTGTAAAAATAGTAGATATACTTTAATATTAAATATTAATAAGCAATCTATATTCTATGTTATTATTTATTGTTATATAACATTTCATAATTATCTTTAAGTTAGAACCGTATAATAAAGAATTTGGATTGGTTATTACCATATTTAAGTACATAGCGTATGGCTGTATTAATCATCGTTCATGATTGTGATTATTAAATTTTTTTTTAAATAAAAGGTTTGCGTTATATCACAGATTAATAAGAATTGCCAAAAGAATTTTCAAGTGAAATATTATAAAAAAATTAATCTGATTTGTGAAAATAAAAACGTAGGTGGAAAACAAAAAATATGTTTTTGTTCAAGTTTGAGAATTTGTAAATGTATTTCATAAGAGCCTTGCAAAAAAGTATTTCAGGACTGCTTTTCGAAGGGTTGGATTTCAATTGTTTTGAACTTGTAAAATCACAATATTCATTGCATATTTGTATCACTGCATTAAGTTCATAAACGAGAGTAGGTATACCAAATAGTATTTTTATGAGAACACCACGGGTTGTTAAGATATATTCAAGTGAATAAGACAATAAAATGTTTCTAATAATTTATGTATACATATTAAATTAGTTAAAATTTATCAATATATATTGTATAATATGTATGATATTTTAAATAAAATGAAACGAAAGCAAGCGATAAACAGTATGCAACAAAAATAACGTATTTAAAAAGGGTTTTACCTGATATTCCAAGGGTAACTCCATATTACTTTGGTTGTCATAATCTTTGGTAATTTCAATTCTACTTTTCCACATATCAGTTTCAAGCTTAATAACTTTCTCATCATTTTCAGAAACCACAAAAAAATGGTTATTTTTAACTGTATGGCATGTTTGATTTTCCATAGTGTTTTCAACATATATTTCACTATACAATTAAAAATGTAATTAATAATTTAAAAATAGAATAAAATAAAATATATTAAAAATTTAAGCACCTATATCATATTTGCGCTCATAATAAACTGAATGCTATCCTCAGGTTTGGGCAAGCTACTCAATTTATTTTAACTGGTTACAAGTTACAAGTCACTCTAAAAATACTTAGATACTTTTATGTTGTATAACTAGATACAAGTTACAGTTATGCAACTAAGTTACATTTTAAGTTAAAAGTTTCATTTTTAAATGTACGAAGAATTATTGACCGGCATAGTCTATAGAGCTAGGTAAAATAACGTTATGGTCGTTATATTAAAATCTTCTGTAATATGTTGATTATACAAATGAAATATGGATTTAAAGGACCAAAAAGGATAAAACACAAGAATTCATTGGAAATATTTGTACATGATTAAATAAAAATAACAGAAGTTACAATTTTGCGACAAAAATTCTCTATCAATTATTCAACTCCTATATCATGACCAAAAACTCAAGAAAACTATGTATAATAAAACTGAATAAGTTAAAATACGAAAAATCTTGATATTATAACCAATGACGGTTATGGCTATGATAGTAAGGTCAACTTACTATGTTCTCACTCTGTAATGGGTCGATGGACAAGTTGATCGCGATCACAAACACCGCAAACCCGCGTAATGCTGCACACCAGAAACTCAATGGATCACACACATCCTTGTGCCGGTGTCACTTGCTGAAACATCAAAAGCCTCAGGGCGAAGTGCGTTGACTAAATACAAATTCAAGGAATCTGAAGCCTAGATTTAGGACAGAGGAGAGATCAGCGGACCGATGTTTTGGACGTTTTGATATTGAGCCAATAACCATGCGGAAACGTGCGGCCGTGTTCCATTACCTCTCTGTTATCAATTAAAACATTATCATCCATGAAAACAAGAATAAAGACCAATCGCGGCCTCCCACATCATCACATGAACAAAACGTACCGAAAAGAGTAGCACGATTAATCGGCCCCACAGACTGCGCTGCGTACGGTAGGATTGCTCCTTTAACTAGGGCTCTTCAAGAACAGGTAAAGACAGCCGCCATTTTCTTTCCAAATGGAATTAATACAGAATTAATACAAATTATACAATTATTTATCAAAACAAGTACTTCTATGAAAAATCGTTAATGATCGTTCAAGTATATATTTTTCTACCTTTATACATTAATTACCAAAATTCAATTTCACAAAACAAATTTAACAAATACTATTATCATTTATCAGCTATGGAAAAAAAATGGCCGCTATCTTTATCAGTGTCTATTAGAGCCTTACTTTAAACAGTCTAGTATGTATAAGAACTATTCATAATTTTTGCGTTTTTTTTAGAAATGTAATCCAAATGAGCCTGTTTGAAAAACAAATTTGAAATTTTTTAGTTAGAATTTTTTTTTTGAACCATTCTATCATGCTACGTGCAGAAGCGGTGGACGGGTCCCAGAGGATGGTACCATACTCAAGGATGGATGGACTAAGGAACAGAAAAGAGTTTTTAGTGGTGTGAGCAAGTGAAAGTCTGTAGAGACACCGTTTATGAAAACTAGCAGTTTTAGGCTAGGTTCACATGAAGAGCGTTAAACGCGCGTTGTCATTCATCCTGTGTAAATTTTCTAAACGCGCGTTTGGCTAACGCGCGTTTAACAGCTCTCATGTGAACTAGGCCTAAGAGCATTACAACAGATTATCTGAATGTGCATATTAGCGCACAGGTTCCGTGTAAGAGTAAATCCTAAATCCTTTACATCAGAGGTTCCCAAACTGTGGGTCGTGACCTATAAGTATGAGTATTCTCATCCGCCATTTTGGTTCCAGGCGCGCCCGGCGGTCGAGTTGTCGGGCGCGGACCGGTGGTCTGACGGTCCACGGTCGAACTGGAACTAAAATGGCGGATGAGAATACCTACATCTATAATAGTGCTCTACTTTTGGGGGGTCGCGCTATTTTTTTAAATAATACAAAAATATAATCATCTATTACTTTTCGTTGATGTTCAAAGTTCAAATTCAGTTTTATCGTCAATCCTTATCTGTGAGTGTGACAACTACGAGTTTGTGGGACGAGGTGGCCGAGCGGTCAACGCGTCGGCTGCGGCGCTGCCGGTTCGGGTTCGATCCTCGACCACTGGGTGGCATTTTCTCCGGCAAGTCACGGTGTCCGGAAAACAAGTGCCGCCATCCCCCACTCCGGAGCATGGCAGAAACCTACGGGTGCCCCATTCGAAATTCTGCCAAAACACAAACACTCCCTTGTAAACCCCCACCAACAAAAAAACCCTAACAACACCACCTTACAACGTACTAACAGCTAATCTCCATAGATGCCGGGCTTAAGGATCAATAAAAAAAAAAAAATTACGAGTTTACCAGCGGCCGTGTCAAATCGACACAATCAGATTAATAAAGAATAGTTATTGAAAAATATAAAGATTTACCTATCTGAAACAAATTAGTAGATACGTGAATGTCGCATGACGTTCAAAACTTTTGATTATTTTCAGTAACACGCGGCAAATCGAATAAGATACACGTACGCAGTTTTATATTAGATAGTACTTTTTGTTTTAAATAAATTCATTTTTTTGTACTTTTGTACAACTATGGACAATTGGTTAAACAAAAAGTCAATGAGTCAAAGTCAAGAAGAAATGGAGACAATATCTGTGTCAATAGTTAAAAAAAGAAAATTAAATTACGATGAGCCTTCAACAAGTTCTTCGGAATTAAAATAAAAAAAAACTTGCAGAAAATATTGCCCGGAATATTTGCAAATCGGATTTATGTGGAACAGAGACGAAGAAAATCCACGACCACAATGTGTTATTTGTGGATTTATACTTGCAAATGAGAGTATGCGACCAAACAAACTACATCAACATATCGATACGAACCATCCAGAAATGAAAGATAAACCACTCAATTTTTATAAAAAAAAACTAGAATCTCTAAAAACATCAAAAAAAAATATTTTTAATTTTACTGCAACTAACCAAAAAGCTACGTACGCTTCATATAAAATATATGTTTACGAATTGCTCAAACTGGTAAGCCTCACACAATTGGTGAGTCTTTAATTTTACCAGCAATCAATGACGCAGTCGGAATCTTGTTTGATCAAAAATGTTTAAAAGAAGTTGAAAAGTTATCGCTTTCAAATAATACAGTGTCGCGAAATAAAAATAGGAAACAATTCCATCCTTCACATTAAAATTATATACTTATTAAATTACTAATAATATATTATGCTTATCATACTTTTTTTTTAGTAAAATTATATACTTATTAAATTACTAATTTATTATACTTATTATACTTTTTTTTCGAAATTACATAAAATTTAATAAAATAGTTTAATTTTCTGTTGTATGGAAAAAAAAAAAAAAAAGGTCATTCATTGATATTATGGGTCGCCATATTTTAAAAAATTTTCAAAATGGGTCGTACAATAAAAAGTTTGGGAACCTCTGCTATAGGCTAACATAAAGTCTCCACTAAGAATCTAAAATGTAGATCTATAAAATACTAGATAAAAATATACAATTTGTTATCTAAGATGATCATATATACTATATGCATAAACTATAAACTGTAAAGGTACAAGTTAATAAGCTGTAAAAAATAAACGAATTACATGTGAAAACGACCGTCTTAGTTAGGTATTATAAATTATAATACCAGACGAGCCCCAGTCCCCTGCCCCTAGCCCGTATTTCTAAAAAATTGTAGGTATACTTTTAAAAACCAAATAATATTACAAAAAAGATGGACAAGTGGGTATCGCTCTGCTGTACAGTAGTTGTAAAGGATGTGTTATATTTGAATACAATGATTGTATACGAAAAACATTTCTGAGCGGTTAGCGTAGTCCTTATAATATTATTATTTTTTATTCGTTCCTATGATGATACACTAGAAATTAAAATCCCATTTTTAGAGGATTTTCGTAATTAATCGGTAGTTTTTCTCGACGCTTTTTAAAAATAATTGGAATTTTCAATTTTGACCTCCTAAAAGTACCAACTAGACTCACTTTTCTATCACAAAAGATGCTGATCTCAAAAATCGAAGCATGCTTAAGTTACTATACAAAATGTTGCTGACAGACAGAAAAAAAACACACATTGTAAAACCAATACCAAAATCTTTCGCTCCCCTCATAATCTAAAATAGATTAAATAAATAATTGATAAATCTGTACATATAAAATCCAAATACCACTTAGTCACTGATCGCTGTAACTCAAACTATGCAACGTACGAACTTGAAATTTGGAATAGAGGTTCTTCTCATATTTTCACCGTGCAATAAGAAAGGATTTGCTGAAATTCGCATTTTGAATAGGTGCTCAAACAGGGACATTAAGGTTCAAGATGGAAATTGGAAATTGGAAATTTTATTTTTATTTATTAATAGTTGCCATTGGTTACAGTCTTCAGTGGAAATTAGTATTTATTTTTTTTATTGGTTGCCATTGGTTATTCTGGCAGATCCGGTTTTTTGTACAAGCTTGGATCAAATCGAACTATTGAACATTGCCTACCAGGGTGGCCTAGTTGCACTTACAGCAGCAAGTTACACCCAAAAGGAGTTGAACAATCATAATTTTTTTAAGAGTTGCGATTTTTTACGGGCAACAAAGTGTACGGGTTCAGCTAGTAAAATTATAATTTTATCGACTATTATATGCACGTACAAGTATTAGTTTAACCCTTAACTATTAAGTATAAATACATTGTAATAATATAAAATTTACTATATAGTATGATCATGATGGACATGATTCATGATATTATGTTTAATTTAGTTTAAACATTAATTGCTCAGCACATCATTTTGTCCGGACTTGATATTTAGGTAGGTACTAAGACTATTCTAGCTCTTACCTACATAAATAAATAATTACGAAATAATAACATGGAGTAAATACCCAATTGTTTTCTCGTGTATTACGAAATAATTATGTAGGTGCCTATACCTACCAAATTCCAATAAAGTGGGATCTTGATTAAAATTACCTACTAATGTCTAATGTGGTTTCTGTATTAGGTGTTTTATTATTTTATTTTATCATTTTAAGTTGGTACATTATATTATAGTTACCTACCTACGACCTACCTATTTTTTTTTTGTTTTCAGTAAACATTCCAACGATTCTGACTTGAGAACTAAGTGGACGAATTCGTTGATAGCACTTGCATGGATGCAATTCCCACATAACACGAATCTATATTATATTGTTCAGAATACGCCTACGGTCAAAATACCCCTGGACGATATATCTGATCTCATGTTAAAAGTAAGTACTGCAGTGTTGTAAAGTAGGTAAATATTAAGAAAGAATTTTTAGAATAATACGCCGTACAAAATAGGTAGATACTAAAAATAAAAAACCTGTCCTAATAATACCCGAAACAAAAGAATGGGGTAAGTGGGCAACGTTCTGCTAGGTACCCCGTACCCATACACTAGACGTCTAGAGAGGCGATGAAATGGATGTGTTAAATTTGAATTCAATAAACATTGTATACGAAAAACGATTCTAAGCTAAGATTTTGGTCTGTCAGCCTATTGTATAGATAACTAAATACATATTATGATAATATAATTATTGTGATTAAAGTAGTTTATTTTACTATTATATAGTATAATACAGTAGGTAAAATTAATTTTTACCAAATAACTTGCATTTGAAAATGTCATTGTGTGTATACAATATAATAATATAATTTTAAAGCTTCAAGTATGTAAGTGTTTGTTGTAGTTTTTAAATTACAACAAAATAACTAAAATTGGTATTCATCTTGCAGGTTTTAATACTATGTAATTTCGAAATTAAAATGTCTGAAAAAAACTGTGTTTATATTGACGATTTTGTGTTATACAATATAGGTAGGTACATGTTATCATATGATAAAAGTAGAGCCAAATACCTAATATAGGTTGTCGACTGCCAAAAAAAAAAAAATTCAATATCTTATATTTAAATTATATATACTACTACCACAGTACCACCCAAAACCCATTAAATAAGAAGAAAGGCTATTTAAAGATTCGAGATAAATTCCAATCCAACTAGTGGTGGTCACTGGTCAGTGTATTGTACAGTGTTCGGAACGTTCACTAAAAATATGAACTCGTTCATGTTCAAGTTCAGCGCTTAAAAATATGAATTCGTCCACGTTCACGTTCAGTGCTTAAAAAAGAAACTAGTTTGTGTTCAAATTAATATTTTTTTCTTTTTCAAACGAACAAGTTCACGTTCACGTTCTTTGAAAATATGAATGCGTTCATTTCTCATTAATTTAATTTATTTTTTTATTTTTATGTTTCGTTTAAATAAGAATACAAAATCGTGGAAATCATAATATTATAGTTGTTTTATTACCAGACGTGCTCACTGAAATTCCATGTATTTTATTTTTGTGATTTGTAATATATTTATATATCATAATAGTATTACCAATCAATATATTTTATTACATAATAAATACATTTGAACGTCTTAAAAATTGTTCAAATTCATTAAATATATAAGCATCGTTCACATTTGTCGTTTACACATACACTCTATTTGAAAATGACGTTCACGGATCGTACACTAAATATGAACGTGAAAGTTTGAACGAGAGTTCATGAACGACGTTCTTTCCAAACACTGGTCTCATATTCCATGGTATAATATGAAAGTGCGGAGCCGACCGCGACGGGGATTTTTACAGTAATTATAAATTATTCTGTTATATTCTTGTATTTTGAAGAAACCTTATTTATAAATTATCAAAAGTTAGAACCATTTTAAAATAATATTTTAGACCCACAATTTAAAATAGTACATTCCGAAATATTAGTAATTGGTATTTGGAGTAGACCACGATAATGAAAAAAAGTATTTAGTATTCTAGAATAAAAATACAAATAAAAGTATGAAATACAAAAAAAAAAATATTTAAATACATACAACTATTCGAATACTTTACAAGACTGGTTGTATATATAGTTAAAATGTGGGATCATCACAAACCGCAATAAGTGAAACTACAATACAAACATTGAGGAAATTCTAAAGTGAAAAACGTTTTGCCGTACGAATGCCAACGTTTACGAAATTCGTAAACGATTGGTGTGGTATGTAAATTCACAGTGGTATAGGTATATTTCAAGACATAACTTAGGTACCTATAGGTAACAGTTCAAATTTTAAATAAAATCAATATAGGTACTTTTGATTAATAAACTTAAGTCAAAATCATAGAATAAAGTAAGTAAAGTTAGGTATATAATAAATAACTACTTGGGCCGTGAGGGGAAAGCGTAAAAGTATTAACAATAACTTAACCACGGTAGGTATTGTAACGAACATGTCAGTATTGAATATTGGTGATCAGAACTGATCAGACAAAACGCTGGATTCCTCGCGTTTTGCACAAATCTCTGGAATTTAAAGCATCTTTTAGGGGGAAAGGTCCTCGGCCCAACTCGGCATTTGGAGAAGCCGACTCCGATGTGTTTGATCTGGACCCCTATCATCGCCGTAGCAATCTGTCTGCAGTCCGGGACGGGCCAGATCCTGATGTCGGAAACTATTTCCACGGCTTCGTACTGGTTGTTTTCGGGGAGATCACAGCATACTGTGAAGACGACTTGCATAATCTCACCGTCCTCTACGGAGGCGCCTAGATCTAGGATCTCGACGTTCGCCGAGACGTCTAACGGCGGCCAAAACCCCAGGGGTGGAGACTTCCTTGGCAATTCCGGGTGCTCTTCGTGGTGACGCGGCACCCTATGTCGTTCGTCGTATAGTATTTGTCGCGCATTGCTTCAACCATGTCCTTGTACGACTTGCCTGGACCGGGCTCGACCAGGACGACCGGCGGTCTTTTCGTATACCCCTTCTGGAGCAAGTGAATACCTACTTATATAAATATTTAAATTTGATTGGATTTATATAAAAAAAAATGTTACGTATTTTGTTTTTAAATATCGTGTAGCGAAGAATACGTAAACGAAAGTAGAGGGGCGCACAGTGCTTCCCGTGATCTGTATTATATTATAATATTATATTCTGTGGCTCTGGCAAGGAGGTAGGCTAATGGCTCCTGTAGTTCGCAGTTACTTCTACGTGTAATCAGATGTAGGGTAATTACAGCATTTTTAGGTACTGTCAAATGTGACAGAGTATGTTATACGGAAACAACGTTGCTACCGCACATCAAAAAATATATTAATATAATATTGTGAGTTTGTATTTTATCGATCAATAAATTAAAGTTTAAACCATTTACACCACTACCATTCCCGTATTTACTTCTGGCGTGCGTACCGATACACATGGGTTACACTTTGATTTTATGGTTTATTTTAATTTTGGTTTTAGATGACTTTTTGTAGCTACTAAATGTCTAAATTCCAGTTACGCTGTCGATCTCTGCCCCTACAGATTATTTTACATTTAGGTTTTCTAGGACTCTAGCCCCTAAACATTTTCAATACCTACTATTTATGCCCATGCTGACAGTTCGTCTTTGCTCAGAATCATTTTTGGTATACACTGATTTTATATCATTGAATTCAAACTTAACACATCCGTAACAGTGACCCCCTAGGCATCTACTGACTACTGTACAGTAGAGCGGTACCCTTTGGCTCACCTTTCTTTTAATATTTTTTTACGAACTTAAGTTTTAAAGGAATAATATTATAATAAAATGTATAATGATAATGGTAAATGCATCAATAATAATAATATTTAAAATCATTTTTTTCTTTTACTTCTTTTTATCGTTCAACATTGAATAGGCAGGTAAAAAATTAATATATTTTAAAAATAATATCTGGGTACTTATATCATGTCCTTTGCATATGCATGTGGACTATAAGGGTCTCAAAAATACGGTAACATTTTGTACAGGTTCAGAAAAAATGACTATAAGGTACTATTTTACTCTTTTATGATCATCTACCATTTTAACCTACGATTTCAAAACTATCCCAGATTCATTGAGGGGAGCTGAAGCCTCTTCATACAATTTGCTAATTAGTGACCTATTGAAGCTTCTTCTCCCTACCTCGACCCACAGTCACTACAAATAGATAGTAGATATTGAAGGCGTAAACAATCATTTTCACTGTATCTTTGTTAGATTTTTTTATGTTTTGATGTGTTTGTTCTAACACATTGCAAACAATTTATAATATATAGCTGTCACCATCCATAGAAGACATATTCATAAAATGCTTTTGGAGAGGCGTATCGTACAAATGCAGGGATATCCTGCGGTTTCAACGTACCGAAGAAGGGTTTTGTTATTCATTTAACAGCCAAACGGCCGAGAGGAGTACAAAGTAGGTATCACTAACTAACGTAATAACTTATACAGACTACAAGTTACAACTTAATGCATGGCTATTTTAAACTATAGATAAATGTATATCTCTAATGTTCATCAACTCTGCAAAAGAGCATCGTCACATCAATTTATTATGAGAATAATAATATTATAATATAGTTCAGTGTAGAATATTATACTCTCATAGAGGAAAGAAAGGTTGCCTATCCATGCCAAATCAGGCCTATTAAATATGTAGACGAGTTAGACTTGTGGTTGCCTACCCAGATACTAATAGGTGCTAATCTTGGAACAATTAAATCACCGATTAGTAAAAGTGTTCTTGGACATAGGCGGGACTAGACTTCATCGGCAGGGGCAGCCTAGCTAATAACCGGCGCTACCTTATTAGTGAACTGAAAAAAGCCATATACACCCAAAGCCCAAAGCCCCTTTTTTAAGCTCCCCTCTGAAAATGAAATATTTATATAATTGTAAAAAAATGTAAATTATCTATTTACAATAATAATCTACAGCAACTTCAGAAATATTATTCATCTACAGTCTTGGAGTACACCACCTAGCTACAAATCAAAAGTAATAAAACAATAATATTAATAATACCTAGATGCGTACCGTACCGGCGTTGTCTGTTTCAAGTCTTTAAATTAGGTTTTTCCGATTTCGGAAGTCAGGAAATCAATCTTTGTAAGTAAATGGTAATTATAACGATATCCACAAAAATATCAAATTTAAAAAAATAATAAATGTTGTCGCTCTTCTGATTTAAAACTCGGTTGACCGGCATTTTTCAAAAATTGCTGGGGCAGTCCAGGCATCCTAGGCTGCCACCGTTAGACACGCCAATGTTCTCGGACATCACCGATTATAGTCCTTCAGTTCCACCTAACCTACAATAACGTTATCGTTTTATTATAGTGACGAAAGCAATATTAACCCACCGTTTGTTGGACCAGATGGGATACTCATTCCACTTCGAAACAATGCGGCGGGCAAAGAGACTGGATTAAAATTAATCATGAGCAACATGAGCAGCGAATTTTTCCCTACAGACAATCGAAGGAGAGGCTTTAACGTAAGTAGGTACCTAGGTGTATACTGCTTACTGGCCGAGCACGACTCTTCCGGTCTTTGACGTAGTATACCTTCATGACACAATATTTTTATGTTTATATTTGTTTTTTGTTGTTGTATTAAATAATTAAGACATTAGTTTGAACAATAAATCCCTCTTGACTTACTATAAAATATAAATAAAGCAACTTGGCCAGATGATATCCAATGTACCCACTCATTTGGCTGCAATTTTTTTTTTCAATTGATTTTTAACGTGTATAACAATGAGCAAAGAGATAACTTACAAAAAGTAGTCAAATATTTCAAAATAAATAGTATAAAGAGAGTAAAATAATTTTTTTAAATATGTAAATATCGTGGCTAGGAAATTATAATTTTAATATTGTGTAAATAATGCACTCAAGTCTCAACAGTTATTCGTAATTTTTGAAGCAATATATCGACTTTGTCAATAACTGGGTTTGCGTAAATATTTCCATTTTACCTTAGTTTTTTCTATTAGAAAAAGAGTCTTTCGACACAAAACTAAAATTATAAAAACACAAATAGCTAAATAAATGCATAAATATATCACGTTGTTTTAATGGCTGTTTTAATATATATTTCTCCAAAGTGATTCTGATACTTAATCCTGATCTGCTTTAAAAAAAAACGTACACAGAACTACAGAAGCAATCCTGGGCAAGTTAATGATCATTTTTAATTGAGTTAAGTTAAGTTTGAAAACAGTTGAAAAAGTTTAAAGTTAATAATTAATAGTTTTTAGTAATTTGTCGGTGGTTTTTCCTGTGCAATAAAATAAATATTAAGAAAATCGAAAAATGACCTCTTTAAAGTACCATCTTGATTCAATTTGCTAAAAGATAAGGTAGGTACTATATGTAGAAATCGAAGAACTCCTTCAAGTAGAAATTTTGTATACAGGATATAAAAAATAAACACCATTGTAAAACCACTAGCTTTCTCACTCCGCTCAGAATCTAAAATAAACACCATTGTAAAACCAGTAGCTTCCTCTCTCCACTCAGAATCTAAAAGTAAATGTTTATGCAATATGGATCATTAATAATAATTGTATTATATTTAATATTTAATTATTTATAAGTTAATATTACTTTTATTTGATTAAAAGTAACCCGTTATTTATTAAACTAATATCAATAAAAACCAGTTAAGTTAAAAATTCCAAAAAAATTAAATTTGAAAATATCAGTGTGTAATGTATATTAAATATAATAATTTACTTAATCGAAATTAAATTCAAAAAAGTTAAATTTAACTTAACTTTTAACCTTACTTAAACTTTTTAAAACATTTATGCCCAGGCTTGCATAGAAGTAGGAACATTATGGACAGTATTTTTTCCGAACAGGTGATGATACATCCTAACGATGGCTTTCCGGACGTGGCTACTGCCTACAAGATTCACGCGGTACGCGATCGCATCACACGGATATCGGTTAGCGTTGCCCAGGTGGAGGCGGACGAATCGCTCGACCGTCTTGACATTCGGAACAGCCAGTGTTATTTGTACAGAGCTAAGGCGAAGAACCTTAACTCACTGTTTCACAAGAGCAGCAATGAGGACACGTGTTTCATCAAGTGTAGGATGAGGGCCATCTACCAGGCGTGCAACTGTACCCAGTACTTTTTCAAATTGTACAAAGGTGCGACGAGTCGTTACAATTCTTTAAAGTATAAATCATAAAAATAAATCCATAAACATTATACATACTATGGTAGAGTAAAAAAACTGTCTTAGGTACCAAGTAGGTTTATCGTTTATGACTGATGTGTTAAAATAAAAGTGTAGCAGCCATATGGGGTGGATTTAACGGTTCAGCACTCATTAACTATTTTTTTTAATTCTATAGGTACAAGCTAGTTGAGTCCCAAAAATACAAAATTATATAAAGTACAAAGTCAATAAAAATTGTTACTATCTAAGCATATTAACTAAAAAATGTAACAGTTTAATAAATCATTACATTTTTCAAATCAATGATTTTGAACTAGAAGAATTATAACGCAATTAAGGGGGATGTAGAACAGTTATTACAAATGTGTTGATATTTTTTGTAATATATTACATTTTTATTTTCTAAATTTTCTGCATTGGAATAGTAAATTGTATTTTATTATTTATTAAATCAATGGGTGAAACATATTTTAATTGTTGACAACTAATGTTGAATACAATTATTTTAAAATCTAGCAGTCTGGCATGGCACCCCGAATTCAAAATGTTGAATTAAAAACTTTCTTAGAAAATAATTACTCAATTAGCAACAATATGTAACCACAAATTCAAAACTTGTAAATCAAGTCTTACTCTCGAAATTAATTATTTTTTGTTTTTTGATGCCTGGTAGATCACGGAATTAATTTACGCACCTGTACTTTGTACGATAGAATTATGATGGGTAAAAATAATTAATTACGCTTATTAACTATTAGTAACCTCACCAGAGTATTAATAATCATAATCTTCATTAGTATTGTTAATCAGGTACTTATAAATATCTCTAGGCTAATCATAATGTGACATTTAAACATTTTCTCAGAACAGACTGCAAGGCATTTCCAAAGTACTTAAAATTAACTTGTGTATAATACATAAATTATATGGTAGGTCCGTTACACCAGCAACACCAAAAGAAATATCTAAGATGAAAATATACAATCAATTGTTATTTCATTTGAACGATCTGTAATCCTAATTTCGACATTAGTACAATAGTACCAGTGGCGTCTCTAGGATTTTTGTAAGAAGGGTCTTAATAATTACCTATAAATATTATTTACTGATAGGTACATTTTTTTATATATATTTTTTTAAACATACAAAGCAATTCATATAGTAACGTGTGTTTCAGAGCATATTTTAACATACAAAGTATGTGGCACTAGTGCAGTAGTGCCCCAGAGTGATATTTGAACGCTACCCAGTGGTGGGTGATCGTACCACTGACCAACTCATTGTCATAACGACCGATGCCAATGTCAATTATTAATTACTATGTATACAATATATAAAGAACATAGAACTATTTTAAGCCATCAGCTCTTGTATAGTTTATCCCATATTATATAACAAACAATAATATTTTATTGAATGTAGAGCATGTCACAAGTCGCAATGCTTTGCCGGAATTGTTTATATATTGATATAAAATATGAATAGATTTAGTTGTAGTACGAAAATAACACAAGTAATTTTAACAATGTAATAAATTACTTCGGAAGTCGTCGATCGTCATCGTCTTCATAAATTGAAGGCTGGGTGCGAATAACGTGCTATGCTACCCTATAACCTAACTTAACCATACAGTGTACAGTGTACAGGTACATCATTTTATATTACGTTTATACAATTATTTAGGAGTATTCATATTAGTTCACAGCACGGAAATACTTATAGGTAGGTACTCGTATAATATGATACTCGGACAGTGGAGTACGCGGGATTTTTCAATGGGGGCGGGGAGGGCTTGAAAATTAGTTGCAATTTTGTATTTATTTTGTCCAGTCTAATAATTTCAGACGTTTATTTTTATTTTTTTAAATCTTTGTAACTCTTTCATACAAGTAGTTCATACTTTTATCGAAAAATTACAGATCATTTTAGGAAAATTGGTAGCAAATACAATGTTTTTTCAAAAATCAATTCATTCTGTTAAGACTTATATGAAATGTACGTCTTACTTACTCTAGTTGACAGTTGAAACTTTATAAATATTTTTTTTTTAAGTAATAATAATACGGCAATGGAGGAGCGTACGTAACTGTACTCGGATGTACCTACACCAGTGGCGTAACGTGTGTCTATGTACAACAACTATTTCAGTATCTTATAATAGTATAATATTTTGCGGATTGTTTTCATAGTTCATTGTGATTGCCGATTGAATTTAAGAGGACGTGATACCCGCATGTGTTGTCTCTGTCTTACAAGTGCGTAACATAGCAAATTATACGCAAAGCAGAACACGTGTAGCTCCGTTAGCTTAAAAATTAGAGTAAATTGACCTCTTATAAGATTATTATCTAGACAATCTCATGAGCTTTTTTATTATATTTTAATTTTTAAGAGAGTTATAAGTACTTTAAAATGTACAAACAATTTACAATTTTAAAATACTCATAGCTCGCTTTAAAATTAAAATATAATAAAAAGCTCATGATTTTGTCTAGATAATAATCTTACCTTTAGATTTTATAAGAGGTCAATTTACTCTAATTTTTAAGCTAACGGAGCTTCACGTGTTCTGATTTGAGTATAATTTGGTATGTTATGGCGTTATGCAATTGTAATACGAAGACAACACATGCGGGTATCACGTCCTCTTAATGATTTATCCACAACACCACGTCCGTGCCGCGTTAAATTCGTTAAAACCTCTCTATATTAGTGGTTATAGTACCTACATAACTAACAAACAAACGAGTTATTCAAAATAGGCTATAAATTCAAGAATGTAGGTATATCGCTCTCAATGGGATTAGAACAACACTGTTTGATCCCAAACCTGCATGTTGATAAATTTCTGAAGTCTATAAGGAGAGGAGGAGGAAACTGCCTGACCCAGTTCTATACAAGAATCAAGAAATTATACAAACATTTATACAAACATCAAGGTTTTATTATTGAAAAATCTGTTATGCTGATATGTATCTCGGTAGAGATATACCTATACAAAAGTTGTAGATTTATTTTTCATTAGAGTTCAGTTATTAAACCTATATTAAAATTGTTGAAATAGAAGAGTTTATTTCCCTTCTATGGTCATCTGGTAAACAATTTTATTGAAGTGCTACCCAGTGAAAATTACTGAAAATATGCTCTGGTGTGTTTCGTCGATCATGACGGGCTTTTTATCGTACACTCTGTAATGAAATCTTACTTTATCCGCAAGCACCCGCAAAGCGTTCTTTTTTTATACAATATATACATTATAGTATTGTACATACTATAAATTTGATTTTAACCAGCAATAATATTTATAAAATATGTCTGTTATGATCAATAGATACCTAATGATAATAATATTTTATAATCTATATAATACAAATGAAAAGCTGTTCGTTGGTAAGATGAGCTACCGAGAACAGCTGAACCGATTTACCTAATTTGTTCTTTAAATGTTTGTAATATTTTGAATGAAGTTTTTACGGAAAGAAAGATTGGAAAAGTTTCACGGAAAATTAGAAAATTTGGGAAAAACTGAAAGGTCTTTTTCTAGGGGATATTTGTATATAGGTATAAATGGTTGCCGTTGGCTACATATTATAATATGTAAGTAGTAGAAAATTAGTATTTTTTTTTTCAATATAAAATATAAATGGTTGCCTCAGGTTACATAATCTATATAATATATAAAAATGGAGCTTGAAAAATGTATGTTACCTTATCAATCGAGAACAGCTGGTCCGATTTGGCTCAAATCCCCCAAAACCCCCCTTGGATACGTCAATGATTTGTACACGCCCCTAAACTTGGGAATATCAGTTTTCTCATATTGGTGATCGTTTTTAGATACGATTCAAACAATTAGAAGTATTATTGTACTTGTATATAGTCACTCCAAATTAAACAGCCAACATAATATAAACTAAAAACGTATTAAAATAAAACAAACAAAAATTATTGCACACATGTCAATGTCCCGATTGTAGATTACGACCGTCGTCTGTCATACACTTTCCTACAGACGCACCAGTAGAAGAGAGATACGATCTATTTCACTTATTTTATCACAATAATCTAAAACATACCTAGTATAAAACGTATTGGAGATGGATGATTATACAAACAGAGTGTTTTTAAAAATATTATTCAATAGTTAGGTGCATATATTATATAAATTAGTTTTTAATATTTATGTGTTTGTTGTTTTATAGGTCTCGGAACCCATTGTGGAATTGAACACATACCTTGTTTGATTGAGAACGATAGTAAGGGCATAATTGTTATGATATTACCAACTATTATTAATATAACTATGTTGTATTGACTTAACCATGTCAAGACCCAATTTATTTTGATCAAATGATTAAAACCTTAATTCTAAAGCTACCTACGTCCATATACATAAATTATAATATTTAATTTTAATGTGATATGGAACAGGCATATTAACAAGTCAATCCACTTTTGCATGTAATATAATATAATAATAAATAATAATAATAAATAATACATTGGCAATGTAAATACCTACTGGCTACTGGAAACTCGTAAATTAAAATATACATTTTATTTGTGCATTTAAAAATATAAAATATAGTTATACTTAAATTTATTGCTCAGCATTTAAATAATAATGAAGCATTAATTTTAATAAAACTCGAGTTATAAATAAAACATTGAATGTATTTGTCGATTATATTTTATATATTGTAATTTCCATAGAAAATATAATGTAGGTAGGTATGTATATAATATGTAGGTACCTACGGTCAACTACTGTAAATATACCTATACTGCAATTCAATAAAATAATCACTAAACAATTATTATCAATATTATATAATCTATACTGGCTCAATATAGTAATGTATATTATTCGTTATTTAGTACTTCAACGCAATCCCAAAATCCCGGAAGACGAACCAGGATTTCCCAGATGGAGTATACCATTTTCCATGAATTGCAGTTGCAGACCACCTTGTTCGTTTACCACGTATACGACCGAGCTCCGGTATGAATTTAGGTAAGTTTATAAGTATGTCGATATTTATTTATTGTTCCAGAAACTCAAGGACCTCCATATCTTCCGGAAATTCCAGAAACTTTTTATCCCAAAACATCAAAAATATCCAGTGGAAATAGCGTTTTCAGATACGTATCAAAGATTTCTGCTAGCAAACCCTGCCCAGTTAGAGTCAACACCATAAATGCATTTGAACTCATATGCGATATATTTGAGAAATCCCCAGAAATTAATTTAGATCATTGCGTGTCAGCTGACATGAAGATGAAAATACCACAATAGCTTTGGAGTTCCGTCTCAAATATGGACAACTCTACGAATTCCAAAATTCCAAAAACATTCAGCCACGGACATTACATTATTAGTAGTAGACAACTGTTACATCATAATATATTTGTTGACTAAACAATCTTATTGGAAAAGACCGTCGTATGAACTATGAAACCCTATTTCGAAGTCTTCACTCAAGGTACTCTGCAGAGAACTTCAAGTTATCAAACTAGCTTGTCTCCAGCCAAAACATCTGTCTAGACAAACACGAGGTCTAATTAACGCTATAGGTACCTACGTTAATAAACGTTATTTTTGGAGTTTGTTCTGACGAAGACGCCACGTTTGTTTAAGGAAATATCATTAACATTAAAGAATCCAACAAAAAGCATTACATCTCGCACACAAGTAATAACGTGTAAACATTATAATTGTGTCATCAGTTGTACAAGACGTAAATATGACGATTAATGATTTAATATCCAATCCTCAGAAAAACATAATCGAATATCGAAAAACCCTTTGAGCAAACCAAACGTATGCAATCTATATTTAGCCTCGAACGGATTTCTTAGGTACAACCTTTAAAAAAAAGTCTGGATGAGCCCATGGAGTACTATTATATATTAATGCCCTATACTACGTATTATATTATTTTATATCATAAAATATAATATAATACAATTTTTTTTATGAATATGAGCGACAATATTATAGTTTTATTGGGCCTAAAGTAAGCTTTATGCCTAGTGGTGTGACGGTTGACCGCATTCACTAATGTGTGCTCCACTACTGCGGTTAAGCATCGCCTAGCGTCGCAGGCTCCCAGAAAAGTGACCACCTAAATTTAACACAACGAATTCTTGCCCCATATAAACACGCTTTCCCACCATACCAACCATAACCCTCACACGTTACACAAATCCAATTGTTCATGTTACTGAGGGTAAAAACAAAACTATTGTTTTATACTAAGATTTTTCTAAAAATAATTATTTCACAAATATAATGGGGAAATCTGCCATAAGATTATTCAATTTTATTAGATCCTGAATTAATAAAATTTATAATACAATTGAAAAAAAACATATTTGTTTTTTTTTTAAATATATATTTGGATACCTAGTCCTGTCTGTGATGGGAAATTAGAGTTTATACTATGTATTTTATGATGTGTATATAACACTGAATAAAACTTGTCAATATAATATAGACACAATCCAAACAATAAAACTTCATTTTTTTTAGACAATTTATCAATAAAGAGCCGTCGTCCTCGAGATACGATGTATTCCTAGAAGTTAATTACAGAGAATTGTTTGCTACAAGCTATCGTCGATCCATGAGATATACCACTCAAGATTTGTTGGGTAGGTAATCCTATAGTAGATGGACTATAATAGATACCTATATTATTTAATTTTTTTTGTGCTTAGAAATCCCGTCTTAAATAGTTTCAAAGCTATTTTATGTAATTCCCTTACACTTATAAAGAACTAGTTGAAAAAATAAAAAAATGCTGTCTTTATTATTACACTTTATTATAGAGGTAATACATTCAATATTCATACCTATATTTACTTATAGGTACCTTATACATTATAATTTATAGCATTGATTATAAATACTAGCAGGTATTTGTAATCAATGATTTTACTCATAACTCAACATTGTCAATCTCCTATATTAAAGGATCGAAGTTAACATGTCTGAGTAATTCTTCTGTAAATTATTCGATTCGTATACAATTTGGAATACATCATAATATATACGTAGGTGCAGGAATTGTCTGTAATAATTTTTTAATCCCGATAAATATAAACAACTAGTACTTTTTAAAATTAAATTCAGTGCCAACAGTTTTGAACGTATTATGTAAAAGTGTAAAACCGACGTATTGTAATTTGTAATCGATGTTCCAAATTACATAATAATAATAATATTAACAATTTTATATCCAACAGTGTCTTTTGGTGGAGTGGCCAGTCTGTTTCTCGGTTGTAGTCTGGTCAGTATAGTGGAAATACTTTACGTCATATATAAGTCATTCTTGGTGATTGTGCGAAATCAATACAACAACTACAAGTTAAACAACAATCCAGCTTGGCCAGATGCAACTGCGATATAAGCGATCTTAATAATTAGGACCTGGAATTATATGCACTAACAAATCACATAATATATTCTTAAAAATAGTAGTGTATGCACCAATGATTTACAAATATTCTCGTAAAAATCATGTTTTAAAACAAATTTATATTATTTTTATTTCAAATTAGGATAAATTGTTTAATTTTGTAGTAAAATATAGAGATATAGAGTATTAAATAATATTTTTATTTATGCTGTCTAGTTTTCTAAATTACCAAGAGTCAAGTGGTTACCCCTTTGCTGCACATAAGGTGTCGTGTGGGTCGGTGTAATGGATTAAATACTTAAATTCGAGTTCAATGATATAAGGATGAGTTAACTTTACGTCTTTGCCGAAAATGTTTCATTTTATATAGGTAATTTAAAAGTTTCAAGTTCCCACGAATAATATTTTTAATATACAACAAAATAACTAAAATCGTTATTCTTTGTTTAATATATAATTTTGTCCAAATATTAACTTAAAATGTCTCGTTCTGTGTTCGGGATTTTAATGAAATCGAGAATATTGAATCAAGAAAAGTATAATATTTGTATTATAATCTATTATATCTAAGAAATAAGTGGAAGAACCAACAGAGTGGAGGCTTCTCTTCAAGTATGGTTCTATTAATAAGTTTGCATGTAAGACGGAATATTAGTCTTAAGTGAAGAGTGGTTGCTTCCCCCTTATTCATGGAGTAGATATCCATTTGAATTGTGAATCCTTTTAGATACAAATTTTGAAATTATCCAACGAAACGTGTTCACTACGCAACTTCAAAAGCTCATCAAGATAAAACACGATTACAACTGCAGATTTGTACCTTAACTTCAGAGTAAATCAATACAAATGTGGTACAACGAATGGTCAATGAATGGTATAAAAATATTTTTGACAACCCTATGTAGAGGTGATAAGTATATAGTATAATATAGTATATAAGTAGTACCTAACTATATAATACTATACAGGGTGATTTTTTTATCGAAGAACACTCATTATTTCAAAAAGTATTAATGTTTAAGAAAATATTTTTTTACATAGTTTCAAGTTGTTAAAAAACAATATTTTTATTAAAAAATTATATTTTTAAATATTTTTTATCCTTTTAATTTTTTAAGTTTTTTACTTTTTTGAATGACAACATCTAATTTTAATTTGATATTCAAAAACAGAATATTTTTCTGAGTATTTCGATACATAAAAATTGAATTTAGGGCAATTAGTTTATGAGTTATAAGTATTTAAAGTTTAGATGAGCGGAGTAGAGTGGTACGGGGTTACCCCGCGAAATGTTTGTCCTCTACTCCGCTCATCTAAACTTTAAATACTTATAACTCATAAACTACTTGCCCTAAATTCAATTTTTATGTATTAAAATAATCAGAAAAATATTCTGTTTTTGAATATCAAATTAAAATTAGATGTTGTCATTCAAAAAAGTAAAAAACTTAAAAAATTAAAAGGATAAAAAATATTTAAAAATATAATTTTTTAATAAAAATATTGTTTTTTAACAACTTGAAACTATGTAAAAAAATATTTTCTTAAACATTAATACTTTTTGAAATAATGAGTGTTCTTCGATAAAAAAATCACCCTGTATATAGTTTATTTTATAGCAGCGGTTTCCAAACTTTTTTGGTTCACGGCGCCCTTTTTGAACTAAGGTGAATTATAAGGGCACCCTTCCCAAGTCATAGTATGACTAATCATAAGAAATAGAAAAAAAAATAAAAACCAGAAAAAATTGAGATGGGTATTGGTTAAATTTTACATAATTTTTAAATTTTTATTTACATTATCGTAAATATTGTTTCATCGTTGCCATCGTCAGGTTTTAAAACTAATTGTTGGACCTTATAAGATTCTACGGCAGTACGGTGCATCTATAAAGACACCACGGTGCACACTATGGGAACCACTGGTATATAGTATCCAAGTGTGATTTCCAAATTTTATAAACGGGCTTGCGCCTTGCACATACTTGCAAATCATTAGATTTTATTTGATTACCTATTTTGAAATTATCGTTCGAACTAGGTGGACCAACTTCCCAACTTCAAAACCTGATGGTGACCGCCATAATGACATACAAATATTTGCTAGAATCATCATTAGCTCTTTTTGATACCTACTTGGCTACTTCAAAGGTCTAGGACTGTTTGGGTGGGCTAACTTAAAAACTTCAAACCTTATAGCGGCTGCCGGAGTAACTTTCAAATTTAAAAAAGAAAATTGCAAATACTTGATAATCAATAGTGTTCGTTTGTTACCAATTTCGAAGTTCTGGGTATTAATGGGTGCGTTACGTGCAACTAGCCCAAATTTATTGTTGGTTTCCCTGTGAAAGTTTGAACATTTTAAGAATAGACTTGCAAATAAATTGCAATACAGAGAATATTACTTGTTATTATTATTTATGATTGTTATATTTGTTATAACTTATAGTAGTAAGTGTATGTAAATACCTAAGACCTTATGTTGTTTTACTTATAACTTATAAGTTATAACACAATATTTCATGATGTATACATACTGTGTTCATATTTATATTTTTATTTGATTTACAATCTATATTTTATACATTAACAATTAATTATTATTTTCAGTATAATATATTATTATATTTTGTTATAGGTACATGGTAATTTCTAATTAGGAGTAGAGTATATATGTGTTCACATTTATATTTTTATTTAGGTGGGCTTTTTTTCCGCAATTCGATAATAATATGACCAGAGTACCTATATGTATAATATTTACCACATGTACTGAGATATGTATAAGTGTTGGTCAACTATATCGTTTGCTCAATATAGGTATAAAAATATAAAATATTGAATGTTAATAATTATGCAATTTATGTAACTAATAATTTGAATGTGTTATTTGTGAATCGTGGAAAAAAAGCCCAGAAAATAAATAAAATAAAAATAAAAAAGGACAGAATGGCCAGTGCTGTAGCACACTGGGCTGGCTTAATAAATATGAACGGTGGCTGAACATTCGATTATACAAGCATAAAACTATCTAATAAATATATTTTAAATACCAAACATTTATAAAGTTGTCCAGTATATAAATAATTAATACGATACTTAGTTCATGATCGAACTATAAAGTTTATAATAATTAATATGTACCTATTGTAACTGTATAATAGGTATGTGAGTATGTCAACATTTCGTAGGTACCTCTATACATATTATATTATATATTAAGTATTATAAATTAATAAATATAAATTATACCTATACAGTATACATCCTACACAAGGCATACGAGAATATTTTGTATAATGTGCTTACGACATACTACCCAAATTAGTAGGTATCTAGACTCTAGAGAATAAAAATATCCATGTAAAATCAATAGCTAAAAGGGGTGAAATGAAATGGGTTTAGCCAGGCCCGTCTCTACAGAGCACAAGCAAGTCATGTGTTGCTTTAGGGTGGCATACAATTTTAAAGAAATTGAAGGCGGCAAAATTAAATAAATATCGGTAAAGAATAACGGCATTATAGTGTACGCTCAATGGCAGCAAATATCTAAGGCCGGTTTAGGTGGTTTATTGTATACTTATAGAATACTGAGCCGTATACCTCTCAGGCGGCCTTTGATACAAACATGCGAAATGCATCGAATTTCTCCTATAAGTGGCTATAATCAGTGTTGAATCCAGGTATACTTCAAGGGGGGGGGGGGGCAAATGAACCCCTGAAATTTTTTTCGCCCCCCCTGACAAATACAACGTTCTGACTTTCAACAAAATGTACCCAAACGTGAGGAAATGCTTCACAGAGTGCAAACCATAATTAATGATCCTATTTTAAAAATACCAGAGGCTATAGAAATCCGTTGGTTAAGCCACTACAAAATTGTTCATGCAATCAAACAATCGTATACCTATTGCTATCGCTACAACTTGTGAACATATACATCAAGATGGTGCCGATTTAGCCTCATTAGCAGGTGGGATTTTGTTAAGTCTCCCCGAAGAAAGTTTTATTATATTGTTGTGTGGATTGGACGAAGTACTAGGTGCCGTTTCTAATTTAAGTTTAACATTACAATCTCCCAATTTATGTATTCCGGTTTTACATACTATAATTAAAAGTACGAAAGATCATTTAAATAAAATTGCAGAAAGTTTAAAACAAGATGTCTATAATAGCACTATAATTAAAAATGCTACCGAAATTTCAAAGAGACTTAATTCATTAAAAAAAGATGATGGCATTAAAAATACATTAAAGTATATTTTATTATTTTATCATTTTTAGAACAAGTAATAAAAGAGATGGATCGTTGATTTGATGATACAGCAGTTAAGCTCATAGAAGGGTGTTCAATATTTGAAAATTATAGTACGTTATCAGATGCATCAGAAAAATTGATTGAACAATAAATTGTGTGACTGTTTATCTATATCTGAATATGATAAAGAATGTATAATATTAGATTTCAAGTCTTTTAAATTTGTAGCTTTAAATAAAAAAGAGATTGGTGGAAACCCCATATCTGATCTTCTTGAAGTTAATATGGGTTACCAACATTTAAAAAAATTAGCAGAATTAGTTTTATGCATACCAATTGCCACTGCTACAGTTGAACGATCATTTAGTGCAATGAATCGAATTATGTCAAAACTTCGAAATCGGATGGGACAAGACACATTGGAATATTGTATGAAAATAAGTATTGAAGGCGAAGAAGACCCACCTCAGAAGTTCATTGAAGAAACAATTGATTTATTATGCAAGAAATAAAACTCGTCGCATAAAATTAATTTAAAAATAAAAAATTAGGTACCTAATAGGTTTCTAATTTATTTGGTAATTTTTTCAATATTTATAATATCTGAATTGTAATAAATTATAATAATACAATTTATAATATGTGACGACCTTAAATTAACCTTGGATAAATTTAAAAATTTAAAAATTAATAATTTGTTTTATAACTTTTTGAATATTTATAATTTCTGAATT